CGGGAACGCGCATGACGATTTTCAAAATAGTGCCCACTGCCCAATAAGCACTGAGATCTCACTAAAAAGGATAAAAGAAGCGTGTGCTTTAAAATAGATAATAGGAAGTGCCATATTGCCGAGTGTTCCAGAAAACCGAGTAATACGAAGATAGAGAATAAAGTGAAATCATTTTACTGAAAGCATCATAAATTCCGCAGAATGAATGTATACCCCAAACTACAGGAGTTGTTAAAACGTTAAATGTCCCATGGTGGATACCTGCTGTAAAAACGCAAAGAGAAGAAGCAGCTGCTGAGACGGTTTAAGCGCAACTGCAGCGATGAAAATATGATCGCATTCAAAAAGGCACGTGCAGCAGCCAGAAATTTAATAATGGAGAGTAGAGGAAATATATCGCAAAATTATGTTAGATCAATAAATGCAACTAGCCCAACATCAAATGCTTGGAAAAAAATCAAAAAATTTTCTCAAGAATGCTAAGTAGGAATAGGAATTCCTCACCTGGTCCAGACAGGGTACCTACATTATGCGATGCTATAAAATCTACCTGGAAAAAAAGGGGTATAGATAACTATTAAACATCTATAATGAGATTTATTTAAAAGACTTATGATGACATGAATGTCAACGGCTTGTGGTTTCAACAACTTGCCACACAGCTCAAGCTGCTCAAGAAACAATCGATTAATTGAAAACCAAATTTGATGGCCGTTTGATTTCCCGTAGAGGTAATGTCAATAGACCACCAAGATCTTGCGTTATTTGTTCCAACCGTGAATTAACAAATGATTGATGTAGTCGTTCGAAAGATACATATAGGGCGCGTCAAAATACTCGGGTGAGCAATGGCATTAACGCTAATTTTGAATAACTTAGGCAATATCAGTTTTAATTTCAATAAATTAATTTAATTATTCATGTGACCAATCTTTATTTATATATTACTGAAAACCATATCAGTTGTAAAACCGTCTTTAGAATCCAAAAATGTAAAAACATACAAGGTGTGCTATTTAAACTTCGAAATTTAGGCTCGCACTGTTTAGACTGTTGGACTTCAGAGACAATCAATTCATAATAATATATCGACCAACAAAATTTTATATTCAGATCGCAAATTCTTCCAAAGCTCAAAAAATCATTTAAAGGTTAAAAGATTTTCGACAAATAATGAAGTAATATCGGCACTGATCATAATCAGTAAGTAACATGGTTGTATCTGAATGCAACAAACAGAACAACGTCAAGATCATATGGTATCGATCTCTCTTGCAATTGTTTTTAATCAGAAGATTAGTGCGGAGGGATGGTTGGTTAGGGCCGCATTCACAGCGTGCGGGGCCCCCAAGTACGAGGTAGGGATGATGCCCCTATCTCTACACGGAAGTTTACAAAAGGTTTAATCAATGTTACTTCAATGGTAACATATATAGGCTGATTCAAATTCGAGAGCCACCATGGGGATCTCGAGAACTGTAAGAGATAGGTAGGTAGTTTAAATTCGGTAAAGTTGTGTGTTTTGATACGTAACAAAATGCTGTTTTGAAACTGAACAAATCCAAATTTCACCACTTCTTTGGGGGTGGCTCCCAAACGAAACACGTTGGATCCTCGGTTTATTTGGAAAAAAAGCTTGTCCTGATACCCTCTATCACCCAATTTTTTTTTAATTGCGGTAATGTAACACCCTGTGTAGTTCGTAGTATATAATAATCAATGCCTATACTAATCATTACTATCTCTGCGACAGGATTGATTTTTTTTCAACTGGTACTATAGTTATATGCACTTTTTTAAAGCTAGGAACAGTTCTGTGCAAATACATGTTTTTGCTTCGTTCAAAAAACATACACGCAATTAATTTCTTGTTCTGCCCTATTTGAGAGGAGAGAAATGCATGCACATTTGAGAAAATATGCGTCTCGATTTAAACATATACCTACTTCTTACTAATATTGTATTAATATTGCAACAAAATGCTTAGATTGAAACGAGAGATTTGTGGAGTCCTTAATAATAAATTGGTGTGCATTTCTGCTGAAGCATCCCTGTTCTAAGTTTATACACTCAAAATAGTTTCTAAAAAAATAAACATGTGTCTATACAGATACTTATATTATGTACTTTGGATTAGAAGCTCAAGGCGGCATTTCTGCACAAGGGCTTTGAATATAAAATTATATTCAAAGACGAGGAGCAGAACACAGCTGGCTTCGGCACTGTGCATAGAACAACATCAGTTATATTTAGGTAAATCTATTTTCCTAATTACATAATATTCACAGAGATTTGTAAAACCTTGTAGAGAAAAAGTCGAGGAAAAAGTACTTGCTACATCAAAGACCATACCTACCCGACGTTTGCGTACAGGTTTGTAAATTACGGGCAAATTTAAAACAATACTTTTGCGTATCAAAAACTAAAATAGAGCCCCGGTCGATATAATTACGTTTTACAGGATATTTAAAAAGTAGCACCAGAAATTGTATGAGAACTGCAATACATTTCTTACCTATGCAGAAAGAATTTGTCAACAAGGTAGGTATATTTTCGAAAGTACATTTTTGCTAATGCATGATGTGTTGCCTACACTCTATTCTCCATGCTCATGCAGACTTCCCTTGTCCTTTTCATATGCCAGGGGTGGATTTGGTAGCTTAGAGCGGCCAAATGCCCTTCCTAACAAGAGGATTTTTTTATTCGTCAATAATGATACAATGGCATTGTAAAATAAGTTTATTGTACATCGTCGGGTTACTGCTGCAGCTCATGCCTGAGTTGACATACCTATTTCAAACAAAATGTTGAAATATTAAATCCTGATTTGAAACAGATGTAATCCAGTTTGTTTAAAACATACCTGTTTTAAACAATGTCAATGTTTTTTGTTATGGCTTTATGTGTAATTTATGTTTTCATTTTCAAATGGTGCAGTCAGTTGACTAATAATTATGGTCTTTCCGCTTTTTCTTGAAGTTCTTTTAGTAAGAGACGCTTTTGGTATTGGTAATAAATAAGTCATCCAGAGAACAAGGATAATTTCTCTGGAGCACTGTCAGAATTTTGTATTCCTGACATAACGGGAATTGCAAAAAAAGCGACTACTATAGTTTGGTATTGGCTTTGAATATAAAATGTTATATTCAAAGGTATTGGATATAAGTATATTCTTTTTAGAAAATTCGATGGGAATCCTTGGATTGTACGAGTCTGAATAAACTAAAATTATTTTCGTTATTTCCCAACATTATAGCACGCGCGACGGACATCGCCATCATATTTCTTCCTTTGCGCTGGTCAGTTATATCGATTTGACTTATCATAAAACAGAAGAGACAGTCAGTTTTATTTTATTACGCCACTGCCTAAAGATGACGCGTTTCCTCCCACTCTTATAACTTCCTTTATATCCATTTCCGTCTCGTGCCCTTTTAATGCAAGTTTCTCTCCTCTTATTTTTTACTCGTAGGTTGGTAGTCAAGTAGGCCTTTATAGTTGAGAAAACACTATTTTAGTTCTAGGTCTACCTTCTCCGCCCACAGAACGTCTAAAGTGTCACGTAACAAAAGTTATTTCGAATGAAGTCATTGCGTTATACAAATTTTCAGAATGATGGGCCTACTTTGATAAAATCCAGAATTGATCAGTATTGCATACATAACTATTTTATTTTTGCGATCATTAGCCCATCTCAAGGTATAATTGTAGTTTCAATTGCAGATTTGTTTCTTTAAAGTCAAGCTGACAGAACGAATTTGAAAATGAAGGTATAAAAGGATATTGAGCAATACTGGATATTATCAAAGTAGGCCGATCATTCTGAAAATTTACATACCGCCATAATTTTTCAATCTGAACAACTTTTCTTAGTAACACCACAGATAAAAATGGGTATTTTATCGTGGCATCCTGTGTCATTTCCCATAGAATATATGGTTGCACGCACAACTCTCGTGCAGAACTGTAAAGGCCTAAGGCCTTAAGAAAATCGAAAGTAAACTAAAAATAAGCAGGGCGGAATCCCAAAATTAGAAATTTCAATTTGAAAATTTTTTCTCAATCATAGGTAAGTATACCTATTGTAAACTCAATCATGGGGATACTGTCTATAACCTATTTTCCATATTTAAAATATGATTTCTTACATCCGATTCTGGTGCTTTTCAGCATTAAAAATTGATCTGAAACCTCCTACGAAGAAGTGTGTTAACAGTGGAGACATTGCCGATTTTGTTGGATTCGTTTGTCTTTGCCTCCTCTGACTCTGTGTGAATTAGATTTGGTTCATAACTTTTCAGCAAACTAGAATGCCTCACATTACATTTTCACAGGTTTTTTAGGTGTTCTAATGTTACACATTTTTCGGAATAACAATAACAATAAAATGGTTGAAGTTCACACCGCCACTGTATTTTCGAACAGCTATTTGGGTCCTGTGATGTTCTGTTGGAGGAATTTCTTCATTGACGTTTTAAGCAAATATTGTTTCCTCCCTTTTTCTTATTGGGTCATTTCCCATAGAATGTATGAATCTAGAATTGTTCGCATACTATTTTCCATTAGTCACACGTTTATGTCTATGACTGAGTAAAAATAATTCAATCTTCATTACAGAGGAGGTCGAGTAGCAAAATTTATATCAGAACCGACATAACTATTTAGTTAGTGCAAATCCTTTATGGACACAAATTTGCTGCCCTCCAAAACATCGCACCCGGGAACTTTCTTGGTAAACTGGCTGTTCCATTAGGTAGTACAAAATTAAATTAAAATCTGTACCTACCTTATACTTAGTGTTCACAAACTGACGTGCAGTAAAGACGCTATAAGTTTGTACAAAAAATAAAAAATAAGGATGGAATTATGCATACTGTTCTGCTCCCATCTTGTCAGTTACACAGTTACAGTTTTAAACTATACATTGAAGCAAACAATTTTACCTACAAAAGGAATTTTCAAATTACGTTTATATTAAAATTTGAACATCAAACAAATACTTCAATGTTATTAGACTTAACATTAAATAATGCAAATTGCAACATACTTCTCTTCTCTCTAAGACATATTTACATGAAAGTATAATGTACTTACTTACAAATTAGTTTAAATGTAATGTCATGTGCTTCACTCATAATTACATTTTTAATCGAAGTCGACACCAATTTTATCACTTAAACACTACATTAAAATCCCTACGAGTTTTAAATCTATAAACACAGTTTGGATCATGTAACCACCAACTCTTGCTTAGCTGCCATTTTAGCTGAAAGTAAAAAATCAATTAAAATGGTTGATCGCAGCAATAGCACAGTCATATTCTGACCGGTGCTCGGTCCCATATGAGCGAATCAGTGTTGACTGTACAGTATAGACTCTTATGGTCAACAACGATGACAAATGTAATCAGAATATGATTTGAAGAAAAGGGCGGATTTGTAAGCCTGCATCAAAACTTCTATAAGGATTGCATTGTTCTTTCTCTGTACTGTGAAGCCAAGGTGAGACGGACTACTCTGATGTGGTCATGAATTAAGTTGTATGTAATAGAAACCTACTATAGTGTGTTCAAACCTCTAAGTGCAATATAGTCCTTATGAGAACAAAGTGCTTGCTTGCCAAAATTATTTTTCTGATATATTACTGCACCGCTTATAATACCGAATTAAACCGTTGTAGGCAGGTACAATAACAGATACAGTTACTTCTCTAACCTCAAAATAAATATCAACAATGTATAAAGGTTCATACGCTATATTTTCTCTCTCACACCGCGGGCATTTGGATTATTCTGCTTCATTTTTCATTCATATTCAGCTCAGGTTGATTTTAATTTTTGAAACCCTCACAAATTCAATTTTTTTAAGGTTGTTTGTTCAATTTACTTTTAACAACATAACTCACCTTCTCTTTCTCGCCTCCGCAACTTTTTCCTTCTCCTTTCCACTGCTGCTAATTCGGCTTTCACATCTGCATACGTTTTCCTTATCTCTTGCAACTTTTGTTGCAAAATAGCAATTCTTTGAGCACTATCCAAACTAGGATCTACAAAAAATAAATGAATATGCAACAAACAAAAAACAAATTTTCCTACCTAGTTCGACGTAGAAATTGTACTTCGATGGTTTCGGAGACCGAGTTAACCTCGTTTCGATGTTAATACTGGAAGACAAGGGTAGATTTCCAATTGAATGTTCAGACGTATCGTCGCTGTCGCTGTTATGGCGCGATCGATTTGTTTTTCTCCCACGTTTGATAGGCAAATCGTCTGGAACTTTACACGATCGCCTTCTTTTCCTACACGGAGATGGGCTCATACTGTCGAGTGGTTTTTTAGTAGAACTCATCGCATCGGAATTCAGTAAAGCGTCCATGCTGCCCTCTTCGCTGTACGGAGAAACTTTATTGGAAGAACATCTTTGTTGAACAGAAAAATCACCTTCACCATCGATGGATTTATAGCTTTCATTGTCGCCAGTATTTGACAGATCACCAGGATCACTAAAAAACCTTGCGATAAAGCTTTTCACCGCCTCTACCAAAGACTTACCCTCGTGGTGACAAATTACTGAGTGTACTCTCTGGAGTCGTAGGGGGTGTATTGTCCAAGACTGTTGAGGCTTCTTTAGTCTCCTTCTCACGATTTTCCACTGGGAGAAGCAGCGGCGGACCCGCGGGTCTATCCTTGGTAACCACCTTCACCTCCCTACTAATAATGTCCGATTTATTGTTACTACTACCCGGAGCACTAGCAAAAGGCATCTCCAGTACCGACTTAGCGACAGGCTTACTTTCAATAATTGCACTTCCTTCAGATGCAGGCGCCGGACTTCCAGGAATCGTCTCTTCGCACAAAAGCAAGGAATGCAAATGCGAATCAGGTTCCTCCTCTTTCTTAACGTCATCTTCAGATTTCTCCGCCACCTTTGCATCGCAGTCGGGTTCAAACTTAAAGCTGTACTGCGATTCCTCCACCACGTTACTTGACCCTTTCATATCAATTGAAGAATTCGTCTGGGATTCGTCATCGGACCTCGCGATTATCAATCGTTCTTCCGAATCTGTACTGTCCGTGTCCGATTCCTCGATAAATTCCCTGCTTACAATCTTCCGAGACCTCTTTTTTAACTCTGGAATTATTTCTGGTTTGAGAATCATCGACCTAACTTTGGTCTCCAATAGTTTCCCCTTGCCCTCCACTGAAGCAACCACTTTCTTGTGTTCGCCGACTTTTGTTTTAGAATCAATTTTTGGTTTTGTATCGATTGGTTTATCTTCCATCAATTCAGACTCTTCTTCAATTTCGTCGGGATGCTCGGGCACTAATTCAGTTTTGACTGGTTCTACCTTTACTACAGATTCTTCTTCAATGGTGGCAGACTCCTGCACACACTCATCTTTAATCATACTGAATTTTTGCAGGAGGGAATCTGCAATTTTGGTTCCAGTTTTAATATTAATTTCTTTAGTTTCGTCCAATTTTGTTAAAATTTCTGTTGGTGAACAAATGGTTTCTAACAACGTGCTTTCCGTCTCTTGGAGTGCTGGTGATATATGTTTCGACATGGAGGACGTTGACGGCTCATCTGCCGATTCTTTGACTTCTAAAGCGACATCTTCGGCGATTTTAAATTCGTCCTCAGACTCGTTACCACTTAATACGCTCGATTTATCCTTAACGGATTGGAGTGTTCGACTTTCCACTTTATCTTGGAAGGCGGAAAACGAAGGGATACTTAAAAGGGGATGATTACTATCGTCATCACTAGAAGAACCCTGGTTTATGACACTCTGAATGGAGGCCCGTATGGTTGCATCATCATCGTCACTGTCTTTCTGCTTCCTATCATCAAGTTTAGGCATAAAACCGCGAAATATTGGATCTAACTCTGAATGATCGGGTGAAGCTTTCGAAAATGAGGCTTCTGAGAACAGCTGTTCTTTGTGAGTGAACAACGGCTCATTTTGAGATTCTTCCGTGTCAGATATATCCAACTGATCACCACTATCATCTTCCCTTGTTTCTGATAATCCATGAAACAGGCTTAGCGGTTCATCCAAACCTAAATTTTTAACCGCCTTGTGCTTTTCATCCAGAGCAATGAGTGACACCTTCTCCTTGCCGCTGTGAAACGATGGCGATTCAACTAATTTATCGAAGGGATCTTCAATTACCATTTTTGTTATATCACTATTGACGCTAACATTGTCACTTTCTTCATCATCATCATCATCTAATAGATCAGATTTTTTCATTGGTACGCGACGCAACCGCTTCTTATCTGCGTCAACCTCCTCTTTATTTTTAATAGGCGAACTTTTCCGCTTACTCGGCGACTTATCCAAATCTTCAAAAAGTCTGGGCATTATACGCTTTTTATTTTTCTCGTCCACCAATTTCGTTCTCGTCTCAAATTCGAAAGGTTCCGGTTCCTTAAATTCGTAAATGTCATCAGAACTAGAAGACTTCTGCAATACGTTCTGGCTATCTTTATCAGAATTATCAGATGTAGTGGCTGCGATATCGGGAACAGTACTAGACTCATCCGACGAGTTGGTTTCCTTTTCGGCCGTGTCGCTGCTTGTAATTTTAACAGCTTTAGCAAAACCTTTTAACTCCGACCTTATTTGATTTAAATCAAAATCGCGCCCTTTTGGTGGACTACTGTTATCTTCATCGCTGTCCCGTAATTTACTTTCGCTTTTTTTAAATTTTCTTCCACTCCTCGGTTTTTCTGTGCCGACGCTATCTTCTTCTTTTTCGCCAACGTCATCTTTGTGCTTATCCAGTTTCTTTAAAATAATTCAGAAATATTAGATGATTCGAAGATTAATCTCAAAATCTAGACTCAGTTTACTCAAGGTTGACAGGAAAAGGGATTATGAAACATCAAGTTGCGGTATTCTGCAGTTAAGGATAAACTTTCAGATTGAGTTGTTTCTAATGTGATGGGGAGTACAAATGAGTTTACACCGTTTATTTATTTGATTCTAAAAAAAATTGTAGCAATCATATGGTCTTACTCCTTAGTAACATACAGGAGTAGTAATATTATGCCTTCTTCGAAACAGATTCATGATCTTTTGTTTCAGAATTACTTCTGGTCATTCTTTTATGAAACACAAGAAGCTTATATCGGGCGATCAAAAATGATTGGCTGTCGAGTCGCCTTAGGAAGTTCAAGTTAAATAGGATTTCCCATGTAAACAAAAATTCCAAAGGCGACTAGACAGCCAATCATTTTTGATCGCATTGTACTATGCGATCAAAAATGAGTTGCTGTCGAGTCACCTTTGGATTTTTTGTTTACATGGGCAATTGTACTTGACTTCAACTTCCAAAGGCGACTCGACAGCAACTCATTTTTGATCGCCCGTTAGTAAAGCATTTGTGGAGACTTTCATTGGAACACCACTGCTCGAAGGGTGCCTCTAGAAGGATCAAGATCACCTAATTCGATACGGGTTAATCTAGAGCTTTCCAGCTCCTAGACGCTAGGTGAGTACTTATGTACAAGTTAAATCCAAGCTTCCAATTTGTTGAAATATCTTGATTCTCACTCCTGAAAACATTGTTGGAAATGGGTTGGTATCACATAGTTCGGAGCAACTTTTAGTTTTCCTAATTTCCCTGCCATGGCCAACTAATAAGTGGATAAGTTTTGTTTTTTGTTTGAATAGTATAGGGGCCCCCTGAGTTAGACAGTCATATGACCCGCCAGACATGCGTGCAGGTGAGGTTCGCGAGCACTTGTATAAGACGTTGTTGGGGTACACGCTCGCCATGTAGGATGAACAACGGAAACAGGTCGGTTAAACGAATCTGATCCTATATGTCTAGTGAACAGACCTGATTCTATCGAACAGATCTGATTTTAATAAAGAGACCTGTTTTTGTTTTCTCCACGAACCTCAACTTCCGCCACTCCCACTCGGAAAGCGACGCCTACCAGTAGCGACAAACCAATCACAATTCGACCAAAATGCGAATATTGCAATCATTTTGGCCATACAAGAGCCGACTGCAGGAAGTTGGCCAATCGCCCACGCCCGTCTCATTCTCCGCGGAAACTCATGCGTCAGGTAGTACCATAAGTTCCTCGAGAAATGATCATTGATCACAAACCGAGCTGCTTTGGGTGTGGTAATCCCGGCTCTGTTAGGAGCAACTGCTCCACATGCAGTAGGTACTAGTGACCAAGTGTCATCTTCATCGTCTATGATGACTTTTCCTCCTTGTTTCCTGCCAGTGCGGAACAAGAATGACCTATCTTGCCAATTTGAATTTGACAGTTTTGTGGATCGACCTATCCTGACACGGGCTCAAAAATCAGCATCGCCGGCGTCCAGTGGTACAACCTTTTAACCATGGTACAATTACAATAAGACAAGGTATGCCTATAACTAAATGCAGATGACGTTTTTATCCCAATGACGTCACAAGAATCACCGCCAAGTTTGAAAATGACATACGCTTCATACTTGAATTAGAAGTGCCATTGCAATTACTCAATTAATTTGGTTGAGTAATCATACTGAATGCATTTAGATATATATAAATATAAGGCAACAGAGAAACTAAACGTACCACTTAATATACTTATTTCAGAAATTTAATCAGCCTTTTAAGTTTTTTTTATTGCCGCTAGATGTCTCGTTTGAAAACGCTAATATAAAGTCACTAGATATAGCTCAAAATCAAGAGGGCGAACACTATTGATATTCCAAAACCTGTGAATATTTACGAAAGCGATGATGATTATGATAGCGATACGTCGCTTGTAGATATATATTTAGTGACTTTACGCTAATATAATTTTTACTTTTTTTACTTACATATTTTATTGTAACTTTAAATATTTGTATTGATAACATGCAATAATTGATACTTTGTAAGTTTAATGTGAGAAACTTGACGCAGTTGACTTGGATTGAACAAATCTTATCACATCCGTAAAGGGGATACACTTTTATTAACTGGTAGGACTACACAAACTCCATTACTTTATTGAACGGTAGAGCCCAGTTATCCCAATGACGTCACGCATAGGCATACCTTGTCTTATTGTACCATGCTTTTAACGTCCCTTCGGAAACTAGTTGAGGATAGATAATTGACAATCAAACTTGCCGATGGGAATTAACGTAATGTCAATGTTACAGTTCCGCGTAACGTTTGAACTTTAGTCACGGAAGACATCATCGAGCCTTTTGCTGCACCCGTGGTTTTGGTCCCTAAAAATGACGGTTCCTATCGTGTATGCGTCGATTACCGAAAATTAACGCAGTTACAGTCCCGGATCGTTATCCGTTATCGCGCATTGACGAGCCGATGCAAGCCGCCAAGATAACCAAATATATGAGTACGTTAGACTTACGGCCCAGTTATTAGTAGGTTAATTGAATAAGTAATATTACTTATTCAATGGTAGGTTTCCGCGATAAAATGGGTTTCACGTCACCTTTCGGAAATATTCGTTTCAAGAGAATGCCGTTTGGTTTGGGGAATGCGCCTTCAACTTTTCCGCGGTTAATAGATCTCCTGTTGTCGGCATTAAAGAGTATTCTCACCTTAGGCTACCTACTTACGTCTTAGGGAATACAACCAGTCATCCAAACCGCATCATGGTTCCGAAAGTTCATTCCGGATGAAACCACTAAGCGATTTTATAGGAAAAAACGCTCAGTGGAAGTAGGAAGCCAAAGAAGCAAAAGCTTTTGAAGAAGTGAAATCCCTATTAACTGGCGCTCGCATATATTGAGACAGGAGGCTACCGAGCGCCTTTTATAGTAAAAACCCATGCAAGCTCCTATGCCATCAGGACTGCTTTACTCCAGTGGGAGTCACCAAATGAAATATCTATGGAGTATGCGAGTAGGATACTCACCACTACGGAACAGAATTATAGTAGAACTGAACGTGATATGGGTGTGTGAGAAGTTTCGTAAATATTTAGAAAATACCACAATCAGGATAATAAGCGGCCACCAGCCGTTGCGTTGACTGATGTCGCTAAAATCACCAACTGGCCGATGGTCTTTGTCCCTGCAGTTATATCTTGATATAAAGTACACTTCTAATGGTGTAATGTGAAATATGAGATAGGTACACTGCACTTACTTTGGTTGCTTAAGTAAATGAAAATGGTGATATCGCCCTAAAACCATTTCGCTATGACTATTTTAATGGAACTATAGAAAACGATTTGTGGAAACTTTTCAAGAGAACACATGAAGGGTATTTTTTATACATATTTGAGTACTCCAAAAATACTACCTACCAATAAAGCAGACTTCACCGCCTTCTTTTTGAGTAATCGATTTTCCACGTCCTCAGCTTTAACACCACTTCGTGTCTTGACCATTTCAGAGTCACTTTCGGTACCGCCGTCACTTTCCGACTCGGAGTGGTTCGAGATGTCAGTTTGACCCGAAGTTCGTCGGGTGCGTCGACTCACTTCGCCTAAATTTAATCATTGCGTTATTATAAAATGAACGAAGATTCGATACCTAAACGTGTCGTTCTAAATCCTCGCGCGACGGGAGTTGCGGGGCTCTTTGTTCGGCTGGAGGTCGATGTCACGCTGGATGGAGTTGTGGAACGTGGCGGTACGTCTTGTGAAGAACTCCGTCCAGTAATAGACATTCGCCTACCGCGTTTCGACAACGATTTAGGAGTCGCTACCTGTTCCGAGACATTAATGGTTGTTAAACTGAACAATGGTACTTACCTTGCTACTGGTGGCGCCACTCTTCAATTTTTTTGCTTTAGTAGTCGCGCTAAGGTTTTCAGCAATACGAACTGGCGTAATCCACTCATCGTAACGTGTATTCCAGCCGGTGTAATGCACCAAATACATGGGACTAACCGCTTCTTTATCTATTTCGATGACTTTTGCCTCATAAGTCACTTTCGACTCATTTGTGGGACCATAAAAAACCTTGAGCTTGTCGCCTATTCCCACTACAGGATTGATAAATGAGGACTCGATGATGGTACTGCAAACAATAATTAAAGCACTCACAATTTATTTTCGACAGCCAACAAACCTGTCCGAAAGTTTGTCCTTTTCTTCTGTATTAACGCGTTTGCGTCCTCGCTTTTTGTCATCTTCGACTTTTTTAACAGATTTAGTTAAGGCCTTACTTGGCGATGGAGTTTCTCGTACTGGTGTCTTCGACTCACGACTGCGTTTTTCGGGTGGTACTTCCTTCTCTTTAATTTTAGGGGTTTGGGATTTCGATCTAGTCTGTTGCTATAAAGCAATAAGTTATTATCTGAGTGCTCACACAATGTTTACCTTTTCCTCTTCTCTCTCCTCTTTTTTTGCATGCTCTTCAAACTTTTCCACAAGCGCTTTAACTTTTTCACCAGCAGCAGGTTTGGGTTTACGTTCACGGCTGGCTTTAGATTCGGTTCTTCGCAAACGTACAGACACATTCGCCGTGACCTCTAAGATATCAGTGGCATCGCTGCTATTTGTATCACTTACATCAGCAAGTACAATATCTTTAACTTTTTTTTCTTCTTCAACTTTTGGTTTGGTTTCAGCTTTTTTCGGAACAGGTTTCGGCTTTTCTTCGGGCGGTTTTTCCTCTTCCTTTTTTTCCGGTAGTACAACGTCCTCCTCTTTTTCTGGACGAGGACTGTTAACGGGAGTGTTCCGATCTTTATCACGAATTAAACTCCTTCCTCGACTTTTCTTGGCGTTACGCGGATGATTAAGCATTGTAACACCTAAAGTACGATGGAATGCCTCATAACTTAATAAACACTTTTTATATACTACTTTTACTTGATTATGAGTGCTTAAATTGTTCGGCAGCTTTAGCCGAAGAGTTACAGATCTCCATTTATTTTTGTTCGTTACCCGATTGTAGCCTCCCAATTTCCGAACCACATCGAACAGTTTGTGAAGATCGACGTCTTTATTTCCGATCATTGGACTTTTATTTAACGGCGTATTGCTATCGTCCATAAATTTATATAGTTGAGCGACGAAATGATCTTTTTCTTCCGGCGTTTCATCTTCCGAACTCTGCATTATAAATTACATCATCAATAAAACACCTTGTATTATTTCAAATGCTATATTGTAACAGGGTATTTTAACCTTTAAAGCAGTAAATTAAAGCTTGGTGAATTTGTTTACTTAACTACAGTTCTAAAGTTTGCCTCAGGTAACCCAGGTATAGAGTACAACTTTACAAGCAAGGTGAAAAAATGAGGAGTTGAAATGGGCCGCCATGAAACAAGGGTAGAAGAATATTGCTACATGGCGTCAGTTTTCAGCGGTACAGTTTTTTTAAATTTATCTTTGGTATTTTCAAAGTGGGCGGGGTTTCAGCAAAGAGTGTTTTACCAACCCAATCCACTATACACATTTACAAATATCCGGGCCCGAACCCAAATTCGAACCACTGCGCCACACAGGCCGTTGAGAACTCAAATGTGGGCAACTACGATAACAGATCCCTGCACGGCATTCTGCAACATGATAGAATGTACAACAATAATCAGCAATCCCCTTGTGCCAATATAGTTTTTGTGTTGTAGATCATATGACCCGTACAACAACCCATTTTTGGATATAGTGGGACAAAATAGTAACGTTGTACATTTTTTAAGCCGTTTATCACATGAAAATAAAGTAATGCAAAAAACATGAAATTTTCGGGATGCGTAAATGAAGCGGATCGTTGTAATTATCGTACGCGCTGTCGAACCTACGCTAGTTGTCATCGCAACGCGTAATCGTCAGCCAATCAGTTCATTGGGTGGATTCTGGAGAAAGAAATTAAGACAACAGTGAGCCATCAAGTTATCGTCAAGCTGCGGACCAAGAAGTTCGCAGCATTTCCAAGGAAGAAAGCGAGAAGGTTAACATTTTCCACAGCGGAACATCCGCGAGAATTCTGTGGTCGGTCCGTGCAGAGTATAGCTGGGGAGTCAATAATTTCGATTCTCACCCAAAGCCGTAGCCTAAACGCATCGAGAACTCAAGGTGCATAAACAATCAAGATATTTATGAACCATTGTTCTCTAGCGTTGTAGTTTTGCCGCTTTTCGTCGTATCATCATTTGAGGTGGTTTGCCTCGTCGTATATTTGAACTAGCGTCGTAGTGTACTTCATAAAAAAACGTTAACGAATCCTTAACATATCAACGTATTGCTGTTCGCTTTATTTTTATTGTACAGGGTGTTTATAAAAATACAATTAATTTCCTTTTAGCACCTGACGGTGATTTATTATACATTTATAAATAAAGTTTTATAATCACAACGTGATGGATAAGAAGGCGATAAAGACTAAACACAGAGGAGATGACCCCTCAAAGCTGCAACCGAATTCAACTTGGAAGGAATATGGGACGACACAAATTCAAAAATATAGTAATAGATAGCGTCCTGATGACTGGATGGTGGAAAGAAAAGTGGAAAATGTATCTGAGTAAAAAAAACAAAGACAAATACGAGCACAAAGCATACATGTAAACTAAACAAAGAAAGAGACATGGGGGGAAGAAAAAGAAAAACCCAGAATATGAAAATTATTTAAAAAACCAACATCGACAACTAATATCAGAAGGCAGGACAAAGTGGAACAATATTTCGAGAAATTTCTCTTAATGGGAATGTACCTGCAAAACAGGAAGATGTAAAGATAGTAGTGGAGAAGATTATGAATTAGGAAACGCATGGGAAGAAGTGCGCAATAAATCCTGGAACAGCGAGAAAATTACAAATGACTGAAAAGTATATATGGCATTATTGGACCTAGAAAAGGCGTTTGATGCTACAAAAAAACAGTATGGGAAAACCTAAAAAATAGAAACATAGATTATACCGCGAATCAGCAACTTGTATGAAGATAATAAGAAGTATGTACAAAAACAACAACGGATAGTTAACAATTTTCAACATAGAAGACGGGTAGGTAATTTATAAAAGTGAGGAGTGCTTATGGAGAATTATTCGGTTAAAATTAAGGCAAAATTGACAAAAAATCAAAAATGAATACAAACAAATGACATCGAAACAACTAAAAATGCACAGTTCTATTTAAAAAAATCATTTATTTACATGGTAAAAATGGGACACCCTGTATATTCAAAAATAATCGCATAGATCTATAGCTGACATTGGCACAAAATGTTCTCTTTACAATTTTTATGAGGAATAAGCTAGGAAAGACCGACCCACTGTGGCACGACCCTGTATAATACTGATTATCAACTATACAGGATGGTGACTTGGTAACGCACCATAGGGCTTTCAATGTAAAATTCATAACATGCGATTATTGGCTCCCCAAATTATTTTAGAGCAAAAATGTCAAGTTTTTTGTAGAAAAAATTTTTTTACGCCAATCAACCGTATTAGTTTTCAATTTTTTTCATATACAGACGGAAAATTGGGAAAATAAAAACCCGCATCTTTTTCAATAATCTGCGATGCCATGGAATTTTCTAAAACAAAAAGATCCAGTTATCAATTAGCAGCAGTTCGAAATGGCTTTTATGAACGACTTGGTTACTTTAATGCAGTTAATGGTGACTTATTCGAACATTTATTGTAAATTTATTTATGGCTCAGTGGTAGAGCATTGGGTTATAAATCCGAAGGTCGGGTGTTCGAACCTGGGTTGAGGTGAATTTTTCATCTGTGGCGGAGATGGAAATTACCTTAGACCAGTTCCGAGCATTCTACCAGCTACTCCGAATTAGGTTTTCCTGCAGTTTTCCTAATTCGTAAGGTAAATACCGGAGTAGTATAGACCATCTTAAGACCTTCTGCAGAGGCACCTCTAAATAGCATTGTGCGGGTCATTCTGTAATTGGGCGCATGCCTGTTGAGGGCCCAAAACAAGAGAGGGATAATAAAATAAAATAAAAAAAAAATTGTTATATTAGGAAACCGTTTTTAGTAATTTGGTCATTCTTTATGTTGAATTCGCTGTTCTAAATATAATACTTTTCGATAGCATTTGATTTGTTCTATAGCAGACATTCCATTGCATGACGGATATTGGCATAGTTTTTGTATTATAAAATTCCATGGCATCACAGATTATTGAAAAAAATGGGGGTTTTATTTTTCCAATTTTCCGCCTTTATTATGCAAAAAATTGAAAACTAATCCGGTTGATTAACGTAAAAAAATTTTTTCTACAAAAAACCTTTATACATTTTTGCTCTAAAATAATTTGGGGAGCCAATAATCGCATGTTATGAATCCCTATGATGCGTTACGCAAGTCACCACCCTGTATATAAGTGACATTTATTTCAAACAATTACTACCCATTCTTTGTCAAGTCTGATTCACACGATTAAAACGCAAATTCAGCAAGCAATTGGTATCTCTTTTTTCACCACTCATTGTACTTTGACCAAATTTGATGAAATATTTAAGACGAAATAAGAAACTATGAAAATTTCAACATGATACAATTATAAGAAATTCAAACAACTGTAGTAATGTAAAGATCATCCACTGTTTCTTGCGAATTCAGTCTTGTTTTTTTTTAAATAGAAACATTATCATTTTCTATTTAAGATTTGCGTACTTATCTGTCATAGTTTTAGACACCTCTAAAAAGCATTGGATCTATGTAGGGCGTAGAAAGTGAATTGTGCAAACGCCGTACAGTTCTAAATCACCTTTAGGAAAATCAAAATTTTTCCTGGCCTAGGCACCACTATTTTTATCGTAGTTGTCCACCTCTGGGTTCTCAACTTTAATTCTCTCATTCAGTCATGCGCACCCCTCAAAACTGGCGGCATAGGGTTTATTTTTTCAAATTGAATCGTTCTACACATGAATGGTGGGTTATTTCACCCCCTCATTTTTTCACTGGGCTTGTAGTCTAAATGTCGTGCGCTCGAAAACGATCAGCTGTCTTAAGCATTGTAAGCAAGATACACAAAGAATCAAGTGACAAAATATGCATTTTTTATTCGGCTATCGAAATATTGTATTTTAAATCTAAACAATCGTATTTGTCATTTTATTCACGTCGTGTCACAGCGCGCTTTAAAGAAACGAGTGCGCGAGCATTTATGTTGTATAACAATGTGAGTATTTATACAAATAAGAATGGATTTTGTCATTCAACCTTTGACAGAAATATTTCATTCAGTGAGTCGAATTTAGTGCACCCCCATTTTTATGATAGTTAAACTATGTTCTAAATGAGAAACTACGCCCATTTATTTATTTGGAAATAATTCTATACTAAACAGTCACTGGAAACCTATTTTTGGTAAATGCAAGACCAGAATCTTCTACATACTCCATTTCCTTCTTGCTTTTTGTTAAAAATATGCATTCAATTGCTATTGGGTTTGTAAGATCATTATCAGCACAAAATAGTAGGTTAGTATGCTTCGTCCGTCTGCCGTTGCTTAGTATATAGCGCATGTTTCAATTTTAACATATTATGTATGTACATCAACTTCTGGTTTAATTTCTCATGTGTTTTAGTAATGCCCTGAACTTGATTTTCAGTTTTTGGCCTTTATGCTGTATTACAGACAGATGGCAATATTATTATAGGTGGATAAATGCAATAAACAAAATGTTTGACTATTAAAGGACTTTATTAACGAAAAAACATGTGAATCAAAAATGTAACACCATTTAATATATACAAAACACAACTAAAAAGATTCATAATTATTTGAAATGGACGTACACGACGAATATTCGCTAGGCGACTTGAGCGGCGTCGAACTTCTTCTTGCTACCGCCGGTTTCCATTGTAAATAAGCGGCCGGTATGAAGCGTGTGTTTACAATATCAACATTTTCACTTAACTGATTAAGTAATCCATGTGTTATAATCTTATGCATCATACTTTCAGCTAAAATTTGCTGTCTTGGTTGCATTTTTCTTAGTTTCATGGCGAAAGACGCGCAAACAGTGTCGAATTCGTCACTATCTCCCAGTTCACTAGTACTTTTCGCTCGATATTTTTTCCTTCGTTTTGCTTTAGCATAGATCTGGAAGTAATAGCACAATTCATTTCAAATGTCAGACTAATAAATGATAAATTAGTGTAGAAATTAATCATTAATTAAAATTATAATAAAAATATAAGTCTAGAGCATTGGGTTAATGCAGTATTTTCACTGAAATCACCCATCAAGTTATTCATCTTTGGCTGGTATGCATTAGATTTAAGGTACATTATCATGAAAACCAAAATTTTGAAGATTTTTTCAAAGTACCCACGGTTTGCCCACTTTTGACAAGAATATTTTCCTTGGTGGTTCACTTAAATAGTGCAACAAGACAAAAATGAAGGTAATGAAAAATATACTCACACCGTGCGTCTATCGGCAAGTGGAAGAAAAGAGCCATGCGTGGATAATGTGTTGGTTTTCAAAACACAATGAGTGTGAAAAATTGTAAATCAGCACAACGGTGCCAAAACTCTATAGTGCATTCTACAGAGACCTTTCAGTACAGATAGCATAGGGCTATGTAAAACTCAGGGCACATTGGAGCTCAGTGTTGCTTGTTTTAAGTTGGCCACTGCTGTTTCTGAAATCGGTCAGTTAAACGAAACTGACGTTAATCTATCTATACATCACTGTTCTCCATAAGAGCCTGTGCTGAAAGGCCACTGTGAAACGCACTATAGCATACACATTCTTCAATAGATTATTCCTATAGTAAATGTACATGCTTTAAACATACATTTTGGTTGATAAGAGATCATAAACCCTAGATCACTATATTTTTTGGTTGGAGACAATTCACAGTAATAAACGGTTAATCACGCGAAAGTAAGACCTTAGATGGCGTCAAAGCAAAACGGACACTAAATTCCCTACCTATATTGATAGAGACCCACAGTCGATTGACCTCCCAACTTGGCGGCGGGACCGTTTTGTTTTTAGTTATCATAGATTTTCGACACAACATGCCAGATGTGCATATTACACTGCACTATACTAATACTGGAACGTGTTGCTCCGTCCGCCAGCACGATTCGATAGAGAAGGCCACAAGGAGGATCTCTGTCCTACTCTCGCGCATGCATAGAGCAGCCGATTTGATATGTTTTGAATATATTAACTATCAGTTTCCCATGCGCCAAGCGAAAGACTCTTTGAGAGCTCATTTCATCAATATAGGAACTCTTAACAGACACTAAGGAGGTTTGCCAATGAATTAACCAAGTTGGTGGCGATTACCAAGGAAGCAATTAGCCCAACAATTTTCAGCATAGCAACTTAGTTGAATTATGGTAATATTCCTATGGATATTAAACTCTAAAAACAATACTGCGTGTTTCTTACCTAAATACACCATTGTGCTTATGAACATTTTACTACCGTACGTAGCAATATTAAGCAGTGATCCGTTTTTGCATTTTGCACTATGGACACTATGGTGTATTTATTTTAAGTATGAAATACAGTCTAGCAACATTGTGAAATTGGCTAATAATTTAGGAACTTGCAGTTTTTGCAATCTTGTGCCACTTTTTTGTGAAACTTTTTAATACCAGAAACAGAAACAATCATTTGTTTCTGCGATACAGGGTGACAACAAAAAGTTTGACGTTTTGGGATGTTATCATATAACAAAAATTTAAAAAAACACTTTCCCCATTGTCACTTTTTAAAGTCTACAACGTTTCATTTCGGAGAAATCATCAAGTTTATTTTTTATATGGCTCATAAAAAAAATAATGTTGAGTAGAATTTTTTATTACGAATACAACAATGTAAGGCACACAAAAAAACATGTTGGAAATTTTGTTGGTTTAAACAGGATGGTGCACCAGTACACAATACTGTAATAGTGCAAAAACACCTATTGGACAATTTTCCTAGAAAATGGAAAATTTGTCCGATAGGTCTTGTACAGGTCAAAAAGTGGCAATGAGAAAGTGTTCTTTATTTTTCTGTACCTGCTCAAATAATTGCAGAAAAAATTAAATAAAATCGGCAAATTTCGGTTTTTCTAGCGCAACTTAGGAAATAATCAGAATTTTATTGTTTTCTTTGCAGCATGGTAACAACTGTTTAAATGTGTATTTTCAAATATTGTTGAACTAAAATAAGACAGGAAGTGGTATAAGCATACCGAGTTATGTGTGATAAAGAAGTTTTTGAATATGCACTGCTTCACTTTAACGGATGCCAAATTGGATTTAGATGTTAATTCATATTTATGTTGCCTTGAAAACCTTTAGTCAAGTAAACACATTTTCACAAGCAGAACAACAAAACGCGTGCAGAAAGTTATAACTGAAAATGTTAAAAGACATGCGTCGTAAAATGGATGTGTGTAAAGTAAAATGTTTTTGTGTAACCGAAGAAAAATATAATATACACGCAAAAATACAAAAGTACATGACATATTGACATAAGAGAAAACAATTACTGACATTTTCTGTTTTTCACTTCAAGTATAAGCATGCGTTAATCCTAGTAAATCCTATGCATCCTTCACCATTTAACTAAAACCTATACCTATAAAGAAACCATAATGGAACGTTAATATATAAAAGATATAAATTTACTTACCATGAATTTTCCACATCTGGCACATTTGATACTCGTGTTAAAAATACCGTAAACACTACAATAATATTAAAATTGCGATGGTATTTAAAACTAACAATGCGAGCGGTAATTGTTCAATATCAAATACACTGTGTCCATTTTTCGAGTGCCACTATGGGGATCTCGCTTATCTTAAGAGATAGAAACTTGGTTAAATTAGGGCAAAGTTGCGAATTTTCGTGCTGAATAATAATCTAAAAATAAATTTATAATATCTTCAATAGTTTTGAAAATATGGCAAAAAATCGAAAATTTCTGATTTTCATTTTTAACTTTTTCATGGTAAACTAATTGTACTAGACATTTCTAATTAACACATTATTCAGACACTTTTTAATGGAGATTTCGAATATGGCATCCCGTTTTTAATAGTTTTTTTTATGGGCTCCGTTTTGGACATTTTGAGATTAGGTTTTTTTTTCTTTTTACAACGATATATGACACATGGTGGTTCAGTATCACATTTTTTCTAAAAATACAATTTTCATTTTCTGCGAAGAGTGCTATGCAAAAACAAAACGATTTGTTGTGAACAAAATGTTGACCTATTTCAAGCAGTGTCATTTACGTTTGTGCTAGTTTAATTGCTAAAATATTATTTATTCTTATGTATTTTGTTCTAATTTGAATTATAATTTTCTTTTAAAACGAAGGTTCAATTCTGTTCATATGAAAATCGAATTTTCTCAACACATCTAGTTCCCTGATGCCAATGCTGCAACCGGACATATGCATCAAACTGTCAAACTTTTGTTCACAATAAAAGAACGTTTTGTTTTTCCAAAGCACTCTTCTCAAAAAATTAAAAATTGTATTTTAGGAAAAATGTGATACTGAACCACCATGTGTGATATATTGTCGTAAAGAGAAAAAAAGACGTAATCTTAAAATCTCAAAATTGAAAATGGCGCCCATAAGAAAAACTTAAGTTGACACGTGTTTCTCTGTCATCTTAAAAGTTACATTCGAAATCTCCATTGAAAAGTGTTCGAATAATGTGTTAATTAGCAATGTCTAGTACGACTATTTTATCACGAAAAAATTAAAAACGAAAATCAGAAAGTTTCGTTTTTTTGGGATATTGATGATATTTTAAATTTATTTTCAGATGGTTATTCAGCAGGGAAATACGCAACTTTGCCCCCATTTAACCAACTTTCTATCTCTTAAGGTAAGCGAGATCCCCATAGTGGCACTCGAAAAATGGACACCGTGTATATACCAAAAACGATTCTGTCTCATTTTTAAGATATGCATACAAAAAGCAACAAAATAAATCAGATTCTTTACCGGTATGGTCAGTGCCATGGTATTGACCATCTGTAGGTCCATTTTAAATCTTCTTTGCTCTTTGGATTTCGCGATGTATTGCATTTTTTTAACACAGCATATCGCACCTAATCAATGAGATAAGAAAAGTAATATACTGCGGTTTTTTTGTATCCTGTTTTGTGGTAGCAAGATGCTCTCTTATCCCTGAATAATCTATTCTTTATGTAAATCAGTAGTTAGGGTGATATTAATAATGTGGTAGTAGTGAGCTGTGACATCGACAAAATATGTCAAACAAACTTCTCAAAGTGGTATCTTTTTTAAATTTCTATTGGTTCATTAATAATTCAAACAAAATCTTTGAAATGAATTTGGAAATAACGGGCGATCAAAAATGGGTTGCTGTCGAGTGACCTTTGGAAGTTCAAGTTAAGTACGATTTCCCATGTAAACAAAAATTCCAAAGGTGACTCGACAGCAACTCATTTTTGATCGCATAGTATCTGACTGAATGTTGAGGTTAAAATAAGACAAATGAGTCACATCCCTTGGTTCAAAGCCGATTGAATGTTCAATGTTGTATATAACCAAAGAGTAACTATGGGTACTCTTTGATATAACTCCATTTGACTGATATTTTAACACTGCTTCACCTCGTCAAGATACCTTCAGTCTCTTGTTATATAAATAACTATTTTTTTTGTTAAATTTGGTTTGAGTTAGGAATCTGTTCTGTCAAAAATTTGGCACCTGGTTTGTAGTTGTCATTTTGTCAACACCTGAATAGGCACCAATCATTTTAAAGATGGGACTATAAAAAGACATTTTTTATTTTATAGAAAAAAGGATTATTGTATTGAGTGCGTTCATAATCTCGTATTGTTTTGTTTTATACGAGAATCAGATCAGATAATCAGCAACTTTGCCATATGTAAAAAACAGACAGACGGACGGATAAGCATATCTTTCAAATACATTTAAATACACCAATGGCTTTAAGGTTATTTTATTTATTTTATTATATATTATAATGCCGATTTGGCATCCTAAAACGGAAGAGATAAAAATTCGACTTACATCCGAAAAGTTTTCATCAGAGTCTGAGGATGCAGTTTGTAGAGAATTATGAAATAACAAACTTCGTTCCCAGTGGACAGGCAGTTCATCATTATCCAAATAACGCATAACTTTCTCCACGGCCTCCGCTAACATTGTACTCTCAACTTTAGATGCCATATCCCGACTAAACTCGGACACTTCCTTTTGAGGTACTGTGTAACTGAAAGCAAAAACATAGTACCTATTTACGAACAATTTGCACCGACATACTATCGTCCGTCCTTAAAAGACCTAACTAAAAATTCGTCCTTTACGTTAATCCGTACTGTGGGCTGTGCGGAAGGCATAACTACAAGTCCCGGAAACCAATTGTCCTTGTTACGCTTTTTATCACTCGCCTCGACGCAAACGACCCGACCTACTTCCATTGTGTACACTTCCAAGTCGGGCTCGTTTTCTTCTTCAACTTCCCCTTCGCTGCTATCTTCCCTAGTACAAAATAACAACTTAGATTTCATTTTTTTTCAACCACTTTAGGTTAGCCATGATGATCATCCGCCACAGATTTTTTTCCCCCAAAATATGAAAATACACATTATTTCATGCTATAATAATTTAGCTTTAGAAAAAGAACCAAACCCAAAATAATTCTGAAACACTCAGCAATCTGCTTACAGGATTATAATACACGAGTGACCAAAACTCCGTCAATTTTTAGTTAATTTGCTCCCCCAAAAATATTAAATTCAAATTGTTCAACTTTTATTGTAAAACGAATCTAATTTAGTGTAATGCGCATATGAGTCTAAACGTATTACCTTGATGTCCAAGAACTAAATTTTGACCATTCCTGTAATGTTTAGTTTGAAGACTTGTTAATCTGTCACATCAAAAATGCACTTTGCACAAGTATGTTTAGTCATAGCATAGCGCAGACTTTAAATTTTTTTATCTGAAGGGATGGTTTTGGCTTGGGTTTTGATCTTTGGGACGAACATCATCCCCAAAAACATCTAATGATTTTATTTTAATGCCACATCTCTTCTGTTGTAAGTGAATATAATTAACCGTAATTAATTAATCATGTGAGGTGTTTGGTATTGTTGGAAGCGCGCTTAAAAAACATGAATTTTAAGACTGGTCCCAAATTTTTATCATAACATCATTACTGACTGTTATAACACAATCATGGCACGCTAGATTAAAATTTTTTAGAGACAAATGTCAAAAGTTGACATATGAAGTGTCATTGTATTCAGACTGTCACGTTCTATCGAAACATGTAATATTATACGGGGAATCATTTAAAATTCAAAAGTTTCATCATTTTCTGTGAAACCAAAAGTCACAAAAAATAATTGAATACAACTTTTAATGTATATTATGCAGCTTGTGGCGTTTTTTATATTATACCCTGTATATATGTTATTATCAATAATCAAAATCTGGCAATGCCTGAAATTTATTGCCGAAATGTGCACTGCAGTTAACCAGAATGTGATACGAGTTTAGTAGTAGACTGAATTTTGTTACCGTTACACGCCCCTGTTTCTTTGATGGAGGTATGTCACTGTCAGCTAATGGGAACGTGCACATCTCAGCTGAGGGCAGTCTTGTCTCGATCGCTGCACGCTTGCCAGCTGGCAGTAATTCGATCATTGTTCATAATGTGGCGCTATGTCTCGTGGTTTAACGTTAAACGTGTTTCATTATGGCATTCACTCGGGCATTCATATTGAACGATTATTTTACAGCAATGTGAAATTGACATTTTAAGAGGTTTGAGACAGTAGGCCCAGGTGTCCCTTTAACAGTAGGGGTAGATAAAGTGAAACAAATCATTGTGCATTCTAATGACATCCGTCATTCTTATTAAAAATGGGATGCGGAGCACGAAATAAAATGAAGTTCAGAACAGAATACAATATTTTCAAGGAAACGTTCTATTTTGGACGTCTAAATTAAATACCTACAGAATTTTCAGAAGTTTTATAATGATTTCTATGGCTTCTCATATAAAATAAAGTTTTGCATTATACACAATGACAAAGGGAAACTAACCATCTCGTAAAAGTTAATTCTGTCAATGGTTAAAATATTCCTTTTTCGTCTTATATAATAAACAACTACTGTTTTTGTAATTTTAACTCTTTTTTAACACAAACCTATGCCTAGTGTCATACAACAAATAATTTCTTGTACAACAATTGCGTATGTTCGTAGTCGCGATAGAGGGTGCCACATACAATCTACATGAATTTTTTGCTAAAGCCTATTACATGCATCGCGACATATGGGTAAAGATACCCACATTTATTTTTTGTAAAAAATTCATCTTTGAACAGTTGTATTAGAATGACGTTTCTAGATGTACAAGCCCTTTATACTACATTATAATTAAGTAATGGACAACATATCACAGAAAAATCTGTATATTGGGCCAGACCGTCTGTGCAGATGTCACAATTATTCCCAAATATGCTAACAAGTTTAATACATTTTTTTAAATAGAGTTGTGGGATTGTGCTTTTCCACTTTTTGAGGTAAATGTGTATTTTCATTTTTCTAAAGATATTTTTGTTTTCCAATAAATATCTATGGCCGTGGATAACTTCGCACTGGTTTTCTCCATCTCTAACTTACTTCATCTGCCTACTTCTTCGTCCCCTACGTCCACCGACAACAGGATTGCCAAAGTGTTCAGGGTGGGTTAGCGGAAGCTGATCTAATGTCTCACTCTCATTAAAATGTCGCCCGCTTTTTAAACACAAAGCGGTTCTTCTTAGCGTGGTAATATCCCCATCGTCGAAAACTACAACATAACTAAAATACGCATTCAAGATAAATTTTGTAACATACCAACAGTATATTGACTACAGTCTTGTATCTTTGCAATGGTTGCTTCTACATACTCCTTTTTATCGGAATGTTTAGCCTGAACGACTTGACCGACACGTAGAGGACCTTTAATTTGCTCGTCACTAACCGTAGCAGTACCTAAGCCCATCTTGTAGGTAACTTTGCATTTCACAACTCGAACAACTTTTGAAACTTTGGCTTCGCAGAATGCTCCTTTATATTTCGCACTAACTGCGGTGCCCACAGATAAGTAAGGAGGATCGTCTCCTTGCTAAAAATAGTTAATAAGGGAAGGTCTGGCGAATGATCTATACGTACCATTTTCATTAAAGACCCGAGCGTTGAGAAAATAGCACTTGTACATTCGTGTTTAAAATCCAAACAATACGATTAATATTCACTGGTAAAGAGTTTTCTATTGGAAAAGAGTATAATAAAGCATCACAACAGATGCTGAAGTGAAACAATTACATTAAACTTTATATAACGAAAAAGTGAAAATAGCGCGTTCTACTTTTACACCACATCGTACTTTGGAAGTCCTAAACTGTAAGCGGATAAGCACAAAACTCATCAACTTTATTTAGGTGTTGTTATCTGCTGACATTTCGTGTGTCGTAAACAATCCCACCGCACGGAACACACCAAAAAGCGAGCGAACCCAACTCCAATCATCAAACACAAAAGTCCCTAGAAAAATACAGCAATCCGTCGTTGCCGATTTTATTCCCACGTTGCCAACTTAATCGTAAGATGTCAATATACGGTCCAACGCGGTACGGCGGAAGCGGGAGTGGGAGCGGTGCTGATTAAAAATCTATGGCGGGATACGAGTGACTTCAAAGCTAAGGCGTTCAGTCGATACTTCAAACACGATGCGTACTGTAGCGTTGTATTGGATCCCGTTTTCACTTTTTGAATAAACGGTTCTGATTCATGGGTTTATAAGTGCAATCGGTTTCAGTTCCAACCCCTGTTTCGAACTACAGCTTTTGCTAGTTTCCAAGAATTCATTTTGCCCCATGTAGTTCGACAGTTCTGGTTTGTAATATTTTAGGTACCTACCTATACCGGGTGATCCAAAATGAATATACAGTTTGAACCTCCCGCAAAACTAAACATTTATAATGTATGATAATAATAATGTTTATTCGTGTAGTATTATCTGAAGACACATGTCAATTGTCAAGAAGTACAGAACACAATAAAACTTAACACTTAAATTTAAGAACAAAGTAATTGTCTATACAATATAGGGGATTGCAAAGCAACGTTTCCTTTACATGTTTCTTAAACAAATGTGTTGGTAAATTTTTTTATTTCAGTAGGTAGAGCATTGAAGAACTTTACGGACCAGAAATTATAGGCCCGTATTGTGGGGTGGCTAGTCTCAGGAAGGGAGTCAATGGTAAATATCAAAGGCCATTTAAAAGCAGTGGTGGATCAATTTAAAAGATCCCTGAACAATAATGATAAATAATTGATTAAAGAAAATGAATTTATCAAGGCGTATTTTCACTGAAATAAAATTACAATTGAGGGTGCGCTAAAATTTTGTTTTTTCGAGTTTACCAAGAGCCTGGGCCCTTCTCACGAGGCGTTTTTAAAGCACCACCCCTGTCATATGTAGTAATATATAGGGTGTTCAATATTAAAAAAATTCATTTTTTATCCGAAAAATGCAATGTTGGGTTTTTTAAAGAAAGATGTGGATTCAGTAGAAAAATTACAGTTTTGATAGTTTACCCGTCACTCTAACTCTACCAACATGAGTGATGACTTCTACTCAAGCAGTGTCAACATCCTGGGGAGTTCAATAATTTGTTAACTCTTCAAATGTTAAGTCTAAATTATGCATATCAATGTATTCATCAATGTTAAGGATTTAAGAAATGAAGTTAAGATATGTCAATTTTAAAAGTAATTGGAAGAACCTATTCAAACTGATCTTAAAATTCCATTCCAGTGACTTTTAAATTAAGAACCAAATAAGTTCAAAAATTGGTGCGTATAATTTACGCCAAGTGAAACAATTATTGGCAATGGTCAATTATGTAAATATTTCCATATAATAAATATATATTAATTACATTAGTATTCAGTTTAATTTAAATTGATTTATGTATTCTTCTTCTAAAGGATGAAGTACACAGCTGGGTATTACTAGAGAATGTAATGGTGGTCCCAAATCAACCGTAGTCATCTGTGAAATAGAACATGCGACAATTTTTTGGCTCTCTGATCCAACACGAGCCAGTCCAATGCACATGTCATTACCAGTTACATCTGGAACAACTGTATTAAGATGTTGTAATAACACTCAGTAAAATATTACCACAACCAGAATCGGCCTTATTAATAATTTCCAAAATTTGTTGTGTGGCTTCGGAAACTGACATAAAACGTGGTGGCATGTATTCCTTTTTTTTCTTAGTTAAACTTTCCAATGTTGGTTCCTTGACTTTGATGTCTGTAATTACACATTAAATATGCAATTAACTGACGTTTCTATACCTAGAAGACATAATGTGTGTAAATTACGTTGATAATTTGATAAAATTTTGTTAAAAAAACTGTCAGGTTTCCAATTCTCTGTCCAAAACGGTATCGAAATGGTTTCTCCAAAGGAATAAAGTTGTAACCCACAGCAACCAACAGCATTTAAAATTGAAGCATTGTGAATAATTTGAAACTGTATATTCTTTTCTTTCGCTCTTAGTATTAGATCAGTATGTGTGGTGGCTCCATATGGATCGCCTACGACAAGCAACGCAACATCTTCAATATCTGCACCTTGAAGGATCGTATCGGCACTTTGTTCTACCAGATCTCTATCTGCTATTAAAAGTTTCTTTTGGTAGAAACTTTCCTATAAACAACTGTGAGTTAGTACTGCAAATGCATACAACTACGAATAATACAAGCTCACTAATTCCACATGTTAAAATGGATGTGTAATGTTCCAGGTAAATTCGATCACATTTTTTAATTATTTCTAATCCTTTTACGGTTACATCCTTACAATCGCCTAAACCTAAACCAATAATATAAAACATATTAATTTACAAAATTTTGATTAGGTACAAATTTTAAGGTTAAGGATGTGACTAAGTTGCTGTTCTCGAGTACTTGTACTGGTTACCTCATTCTGTGGTTACCGATACATTATACATACAGGAGGCGGTGTGCTTAACGTATGATGTGATGCCTACTATTTGACCTAAAATGTTCGATTTTGTTGAAAATACATATGTGGGTAAAGAAATTGGGATTTATAACGTTTTTTAACAAAATGTTCATTAACTTTTCATAAGATTAGTTGATCTCGAGGGGTTATGTTGGACGAGCCTTGTTACTATTTTTTTTCCAATTAAATTATTTTCATTAACTGGTTTCGTTGTGTAAATTCCCTGTTTTTCATCAGCTGCGCAGAACGGTCGAAGACTTTATGGTTGTTGTACATATACACCGTGTTTTGTATTTTTTTCTCATATTATCATTCTTTCAGTTGTGAAGTGGAGGTATAGCTACTTCAACTTCAAAGGTTATTTCTAGGTATCCCGAAACATGGTCTCAAAGATCAGCGAAGTGGATATATTTTATTTAATGGGTGAGTGAAAGTAGACAAACAGAGATATGGCCTGACACCATTAAGATTGGTTCGAAGATACTTATGTTGGACGAAGGAATAGACCTCCTCCACCATGGAATGTGAAATGTGTATCAGCATTATGAACAATCCTACCATATGGCAATTCATAGATGGTATTCGTAAAGTGCAGCATGGAAGAGATGTATACGACGAAAAACTTGTGGCGGAACGCCGATACGAAAATACTATCAATAGTAAGAGATTATGGTAAATGAATATTTGCGAGGTATTGCTCACAATTATCAAATGGAACCATAAAAAACCTACCTACTGCAGAAAAAATAAATAATTACGTATAATTATTCAATTGTAATATATCCTTTACTTAATACATTTCTAAATCCGTCTTTTTGGTAAACAATTCTTACCCAAATACCCACTTACCCAGCCAGTCGCGGCGGTTTACAATGCCCCATTACGTGCGAAATCTGCAACCGAAAGACCTGGGGAAACGTCAATTAACTGACATTGGACTAATTTGATGAAGATGACTTGGACTTGCCCCTCGATATTCCTTTGACCAACGATTTCAAAGACGCCGAAGTTGATCCCGAAATAGGGATAAACGTATTCGGTATTGAAATTTGAAAACAGTGACATTAACGGACCAGGTCCGTCAAGCCTGCGTAGATAGAGCATGCAATTTTAATTATTTAAAATTAATTGATCATAGATTCATTGACTAATCAATTTAATTAATTAATTGATTAATAAATTATTTGGATAAAATATAGGCCACCGTTTATTAAAAATTTCTGATTTCCCCTAAGGGTTAACTTTAGTAAAAATTTGCTATAACTACATTTTTAATAGGAAATTGTCTCCTATTTAATTTTTGTCACCGTATTTTTTTCGCCGGTGGTAAGTTTCGAATTTTGCATTTTGTGAATTGTAGTTCTACGCACACAAACCTACATCTCAGAAACAGAAGAAATTCGCACCTAGATATTCTTTTAGAAGATGCACTGTTCAAATTAAGTATAAGTAGTACTTTACTAGAATTGTTGTTACTATGTAAATACAATTTTAAATGTTATCATTGTATATTACGATGTATATACAATGATGATATCTAAACACAATGGCTGTTTTTCACTTATGTAAATTGTGAAGCAGCTATATAGGCAGTATACAGGGTGATTCCTATAGTACCTGCCACCGTTTGGGAGCGTATAGGGGGTGCCTAGGGGAGTATTTTGATATAGGACACTTGGGGTTGGAAATCTAAAATAAGGGCGCCAGAACCAAATTTATCTTCTGGAATTTCACGCCTGTATGTAGGCAACCCAACCGACCGACGTTTCGCGCGGAGCGATGCAGAGCGAGTTAGCGCGAGGAAGCGACATGGGAGGGAAGGAGGAAAAACGACAGTCAAAAGCAATAACGTTTACAAGTGTTCAACGTGGCCACCGTTGTTCTCAATGCACTTCCTACATCTAGCCAACTATTATTATACTATTGCCATAGTGTTTATTCACTTGATACGCGTCGTTGCAGCCGGGATTTCGTGGGTTTAAACAAAATTCTGATCAAGTGTCAGCCACACATCGCCGCCTGAGATCGCTCCGTGTGCACCGCCGGCCGGTTGGGTTGCCTACCTACAGGCGCGAAATTCCAGAAGGTAATTTGGCTCTGGCACCCTTATTTTAGATTTCCGACCCCAAGTGTCCTATATCAAAATACTCCCCTACGCACCACCTACACGCTCCCAAACGGTGGCAGGTACTATAGGAATCACCCTGTATATTAAATAAATTATGTTTAATTAAGAGTTCGAAAATTGGGCATAAATAACTAATTCGCAAAAAAAAAATCGATACACGGTCACCAACATTTCCACAGAGCAATCAACTGGCACGTATTCGTCCAACCCTTAGCCTAACACGCATGAGGGTAAAATTCGATCGAATGAACACTTAGTTTCTCAGAAACAAAACGTTATAGTTAGTCGAAGTTCAGACTTTTTCAATCTATCACATGCTAATACCTCTTGCCTATATTGAAGTTAATTCATAAGTTATCGGCATCGGTGACTGAAGTTTCTCGTCATACGTATTACAGGTCTTCCGCAATTCATGATGGGTATGCATTTTTTTTCTAGAACATGTTTGTTTTTCTACACAGTTAGGGACAACCAAAATATATTTTCCAAAAGACTTAAGAACGATGGTACAGTTGAGTACCTAAGCAGTAAATCGACTATATAAAAATGCCTTTATATAATTTTGTTATTCACTATCGATTTCACAATGTTTTTAGTTCGGTTTCATGGATACAGTACCTACACCGATATATGAAAATACTTGGCTACTATAGTTTCAACTAACGGATCACCAGATCTTGTAGTAGGTAACGAACCCATAATCAGTACTAGTTCAACTAGTGTAGTAACGGTTTGATAAAACATGCTTTAGAATAGGTATAGGGGGTGAAACTCCAACAATTATGTAGCCATACCCCTTTTAGCTCAAACTAAACCACACTACCTAGGATGTATGAGTGTCATTAGCGTAGCCTTATCATCCCTTTTTTGGTAAAAAAAAACAGAAAAGCAAGTTTTGCACTTTGCACCACTAGAGGACTGGTCATCCAGCACTTGATCAGGTCATTCGTCTGCCTGCGGTTTTTCTTTTTCGACGGTTAGACAGAGTCAAATTTTGGTATTACATGTATTAAAATAATGTTGTCTTTTACGACTCGTAGGTACCTACCGTCTATCTTTAAACAACTGCGCTTTTTCATTTGCAAAAACCATTTTTGCCTTTAGTTTACACCCCATTTCTTATCGATTCAACTGAAAATTATATTCATTCTCGAAAAGCCAACTCACCTCCAATTTAAATTTTTAATTAGCAGCGTCATTCCGAGTTATTTTTACATCAAACTAGTTAAATAAGGCAATATTAATACACTTTCTTTTGTAGATAATAGCTCGCATGCGTCTTTTTGAGTTATTGGAAAGCAATCACGATAAGAAATGCACTAGGAGAGCTTATCACTAGGAGATTTTAATCACAAATATATTAAAATGATTTGGCGTTTAAATTGTTCAGGTAATTTTTTACCGCTTCTGTAAATTTTGAATGTCTTGCACATACGCACTGGTTTTCTTAGGTGTAGTTACTTGCAATTTATATATGATTCCTTTAAATTTAAATGTAGGTAAATACCACAATAATGAACCTCATCAAGTTACACTTACAAGTAGGTTATAATATGGAAATTATTGCAATTGGTATATTCCATAGCTTAGCATACATCGATCGTATATTTTTAATTTTAAATGAACACCAGGCATACCTATTGCTAATAAGTACATCGGCATCATTTAAAAAAAAAATTTGTTGTTATTTGTTATTTGTGAATAAATTAGAACATACTGTGATCTTTCACGGTGTACAGGGTTGAAAATGTTATTATCACGTCGGTACGTCATTGTTTAATTATATTTACTCACTGACTCGTTGATTTATAGTTGTTCCTTATGTTATTTACTCGTGCTATAAAACAAATCTTTTCTTGATTTGCCTGTTAGCCCAGTCAGAATAGGAAAAATAGAAGAACTAATTCATGTATTACCAGTTCCTTCGGAATTGTGTAAGGGACGTTTCTCTATAATCAACGTAAAGTAAAGTCCCCCCGGATACCGGCTGTGCTAAAGGGGGGAGGGGAGCGAGAGTGGCTCTGAAGGTCCCATTTTATAGTTTTTTGCTTACACCGTGGAAAAGGTACACTATAGCAAAAAATTTTGTACATAAAAATGAATGCTTATTAAATTTGCTATAACTTTGAATAGATACATAATTATGAAAAACCGCATCGTTTTTATGTTATTGACTATCCAAGGTTGAATATTTTCATATGTGGATTATACATATCAATGTAGTATATGACCAATACCTACAATACCTACCTAAGACTAATTTTCGCTGTCCGAAAAAGTGAATGTGTCGATGTTGTCTTCTTCATTGCCGTCCTCGTGGACCGGTGGGCCGTTAAAGTACCCACTTTCACATCCACAAGCTGAAGTGCAGTTGATGCTCGTCTTACGACACCCATACCTCGGGCCACATCCAGTTCTAGTAGTTCAGCGGCAGAAGATGGAACTTAGGACATTGGCCGGTGCTGGCGGGTCGCTAGTCTTGATACCCCATCAGCATTCGATCCTCTCCTCTCATCTAACCCCACCGCTGTGGAGGGTAAATCCGGCTATGCGGCTAGTACGGTCATGTGTATAATCCACATATTCAATCTTGATGGGTCAAAAACTTAAAAACGGTGGGTTTTTTTAAGAAAGTGTATAGACTCAAAGTTGTATCAAATTTAATGAGCTTGTATTTATACGAAAAGAATTTTTTCTAGGACACGCCGTTTTCGAATTGTAAGTAAAAAACTACACAATGTGACCATCAAAACCACGGTCTCCCCCCTCACCCCTCTAGCACACGCGGTAGACGGGGGGACTTTATTACATGTTGATCAGAGAACCTTCTGCTACACATTTCCGAAGGAATTAGTAATACATGATTTAGTTCCCCTATTTGCCATTTTTTGATCTATTCTTACTGGACTATGTATAAATACTTGCTATGTATTATTTGGTAAATGATCATAATGTAGCATTTGTATATCCAAAATGGGTAAATTTGTGACAAGACAATTTCGGAACGTTCTTAGATAAAGCGCCAAATTTGAATATCCCCTAACATCAAAATCGATACGTTACCTGAATTATACCTATCGGCTATCAATCATTAAATATTGTCAAATGCAGCTAATATATCGTATTTACGGTGCAAACCCTATAAGTTACAATTTTAATAAAATAAACCATTCTATGTAAGTTTCGAATCTCAACTGAAAAACTTGTCTTAAATTTAATACACAATTTGAACGAATACTCTATGATAAATTGAGCTATAATTTACCCCAAAGTCTTACGCGTTTATAGTTGAGATCCCATATGAATTTCTTTTGGACCTTTATTCCAAAGAGTGAAAGAGTCCTTTATTTCCAGAATGCGTCGTAGCTCTTCCCCATTCATGGAATTGTGAAACTAAGAACTGAGCATTTAGAAACGTTGAAGGATAATTTATTATTGTATTCCAACCAGATATTTACAGCATCTAAATCCTCTTGCAGCGCTTGACAATCATTTACGTCAGATATGGCTTTAAATCATTTGAAGTCTGCATATAACAGAATATTGGAGTTCTTAACCACTTCAACGACTTCATTTATAGGTTAAAGATGAGGGGTCCTAAACCAGAGCCCTGCGGGACTCCCGATGTGGCGATATACTGCTTAGATGTGTATCCCTGGAACCACACGTATTGACGGCCATTTGTAAAATAGGATTTGAAGAGGTGAAGTAAATCCAAAGATAAACCAAAATGCTTTAGTTTAGATATAGTGGTAGAGTCAGTGGTGATCACATCACATCTATCGAAAGTCTTGGCTTGATCCGTGAACTAACACCTTGATTCAAGTTGGTGACAGTTGATTTTCCCGAGATAAATCCATGTTGACTATCGGAAATATCTCGCAGCCCATATGAAAAAACATTTTTTCTCAAAACAATTTCAAAAAATTTGGCATATATAATTACTCGCAGAATTCTATTCCCTTTATAAATATAGGCGTTACCTTGGTGGTCTTCCATACACCAGGAAAAAGGCATTTTTGTTAATGAAGAATAATATACCTACAGTGGTTTACTCGACACTTCTGAGTGCCCTTTGAAAAAGTACTGCCGAATGAGATCAGGACCCATAGATTTTTTGGACTTTAATTCTTTCATAGCTTTTAAAACTGTAGCCTGGTCAACTTCCTTCAACGTAATAACATTAGTATGCACTGGATTACTACTATTATGTAGACTCTCGTAATAATCTTTGTTAGATGGAGATGGTAAGTAAATGGACTCGAAAAAGTTAGCAAAATTATTTGATATTTCAGGGCCCGTTGATGCTACAACACCATTAAACTCAACTTCACACACCTAGGAAGTTGGCCTTCTGCAGTGTTTCACATAGGACCAAAAGCGATTAGGATCACGTCTAATTTCATTTTCGATACCATTTAAATCGAGATTTAAATATTATTTGTTAACATTTATTAATTATTTATTTAACAATAATTAATATACTCAGATGATTTTTTAAGTGATTAAAAGCTAGGAAGCTTTTTATCGGGGATAAAAATGCGTGTAGGAATGCGTAAAATATATAGTGTTTGTGAAATTTATTGTCCTTTATTAATCTCCCTAAAATACACTCGATTGGTTTTAAATCAGGATAATTTTATTTTTAATGCACTCACATTTTGTTGCCTCCTTGAAAAATGTATACAAACCAAAAAATTTAAAATAACTTACAGTAATTGACGTAGGTAATTTTCGCTTCTGGTAATAATTGATCTTATCTGTCCTTGCAAAATCCAAGCAAACCGGCTTCAATTCTGCGAAAGTAATACTCGAGCTCGTGATTATGCACAGCAGTAATAAGCCCATATTCCGCTGTGTTGATATTAATTTTGCTCAATTTATTAACAAGATTTTGTTGCGGGTCTATCGATTGATTGTCTGTCAATTTCCTGTCGTATCCAAAAAAATATGCGTCGTATGCTATCACAATGAGTTTTAACGTCAGTTTATTCACTCGCGTGTTGGTTTTAAAAGCACTCCTACTTCTAGAAATCGCTTATTTGGTTGTTGTTTTTAACACTCTAAAATAAACGACCTTATTAGGAATTAAGCTAACTTCAATTTTTGGATAAAATTAAGTTTGCAATGTTGTCACCCCTAATAAAGATGGTAAAAACTTTATTCCTACAGATAAACCTTTACAAACGAAAACTTTAGTGCACCTAAGTTGGTACGTAACCACTCGTGAAAAGCTCAATTATTCGAAAATGAAATCACACACCAATAGTACGTCCTAACTTTTTAAAGTCTAACCTCGTCTGCCGACCACCAACACTAGCGTTTTACCTCGAACGTTGCGTCGTTATCGCTCTTATTTCCCAACACACTTTCGGCCTCGTTCGCTATGAAGCGGTATATGTGTAAATTTTTCTATGTTGAATAAAATACAAATTCAAAAAATATTTTTTGTAAATGGCTAAGCGACAGCCTGATACACGTACCTATCTTTATATGTTGATTAAAATACGAAGGGAGTGAATAAATACGATTCCTGCAATCGAAGCTAAATACCCTAACTTAATGAAAAAAATGTTAGTTGCAACCAGCAGCTAAAGCAAAATAATTACTCAATCAATTTTCCTACCGACAGTAGAAATGGGATAACTTGTCATATGTTCCAGAATGTCCCACCAGATAATTGTAATCGGTTGTCGAGATTGTCTTCCACAGAATTAATGGATAGGGTTAAATGGGCTAAACGTAAACAAATCATTCCATTTTTTAAATTTGAATTATTTTTTCAATTTCTTGTGCTTGTGTACTTTTTGCCCTAATAACTTAAGATAACATTAATAAACTTGAATTTGGCGAAGATTAATTGGTAATATAATACCGTGGATCTCTTTTAGAAATAATGCCATTTCATTCCGCGATGGAAGAACAAGAATCTGGAACTGTTATTAAACGACTGAGCGTTCCGGTTGGTCTGGAGGAACTGATGTCAGGTTTAGCGAAGGAAGTACTTCAGAAAAAACCGAAAGATATATACAATTTTGCATCTGAATATTTTGGACAGTTACTTTCGCTTCGAGACAACGGCAACTACAATGGTAAGTTTTAACTGACCAGATTTGGAATCGTAGTCGTAACTTTTAGTTCCACCTTCTGAAATGGATAAGCCCATTGTGACTGGGAGCGAGCAGGGAAGCAAAAGGTCATCTTCTGATTCTAGAAAGGTGTTATCGAGACAGATTAGTATATACGACGCTTCCCCTAAGAAGAAGCAGACCAAGAAGTCGCCACGTGATAGAAAAGGCAAAAAATCGTCCAATAAATTGCAACCTGTAAAGGAGAAGCCAGCACCTGCAGTGCAATCTACACCTAAAGCTTCTACTAAGAGAAGTGGAACGCCCCATAAGCAAACCAAGAGAGGTTCGAAAGACGCTAAAAGTGCAGATAAAGAAAGTGGAAGTAAGCATGACAAAGATAGCAACGTAAATCAATCAAAGGATGAGGATGGCATAGGTGATAAAACATCTACCGCCGGTTTACTTGCACTTCAGGGATTGCAGCACAGCGGTGAACTGCATGACGTTATTCCTGTTCATACTATTAATATGCCACAAACACATTCGCAAAATGTAGAAAATGAACCCAGTGCAATGGCTGAAAAGGACGGCACGGAACCAACTAGCATTCCAACAGCTGCAGATGATTCGGTTCGTAAACTGTTCAATGCTGAGTCATTCTCATTGTAACAAACACATGTTTTGCAGATTCCAGGGCAAGATTCAGGACAAATGGAAAAAGCGGCAACGCTAATACAAGCAGGATTCAGGGGATATCTCACGCGAAAACGACGCGACGTTTCAAAACCGAAATCTCCAAAAGCACCAAGTAAATCACCCAGAAGTAAATCTGTGGGCGAATTTCCAAACGATAAAGCGACGACTTCAATACTGGGCAGGAGTCTATCGGTGACGGATTCGGTGATTTCGAAAACGTTAGATGAAGAAGACGATAAGCTGCGGCAATCAGTTGACGAAACCGAGAGCTTACAAGAGCACAGCGAAGATTTGGGAATAGAAGTTGAAAAATCGACAACTCAGGCCAAAGACGATTTAAACTCGTCATTGCTAATCGAAGAAGAGATGGTTGATGGAAATGACACTGAGAAAGCAACTGGTGTTGATGCGCCACAAAAACATAATATAACTGAAGTGGCGGTGTCAAATGAGGATAAGGAAAGTGTAATGGAAAACGGTACCCTGGCAACTGAGCCAACTCACGAAGGTAGTGCACCAAGCGATTTGTCGGATCAGAAAGAACCCGATGATAAATTAAGTGGCAACCTTCAGCACAGTGGAGAAATGCATGATACAGTAATCCCTCATATGATATGTGATGATAAGGCTGACCAAGAAAGTGATAATCTAAAACACAGCGGGGAAATGCACGATACAATTTTAATATCATCGGACCCTCTTCAACCCGATTCAATTAATGCGGAAGCCCAACAACCTATTAGCAACAGTCTGCAGCATAGTGGAGAGATGCACGATAGCGTTATCCCTGTCATAGAAATATATGAACAACAGAGTCCTGACACAAGTACACAAGACAACATCAACAAGAGTGAAGCTACTACTGCCGAAACGCCAAATGCAACCAAATTTTTTGACCTGGCAAATGAAGCAGAGAATAAGACCATTACACCGATGTCAGATGCAAAAGAAGAACTTGTGAGTGCACAGGCAGAAATTTCCAGCGACAATGTCAACAAGGCAAATGAAACTATCGAGTTAAGGGGTGGTACATCTGACACTCAGTTGAACGTTGAAAGGGAGAACGCAACTGAGACTCACGATCATCAAAACAGTGAAACTATCGTTGTTGATAACTCCAAGGTCGACAGTGATGAAAAGGAAATTCCTACCAGCATTGATTGTGATGATTCTAATAAAAACCTTGAAGATGGACAAACTGAAAAACCTAACGTAATTACATCGGTCGATGAAGATAAGGAAGATCACGATAGTACCAATGGTACGAAACTTTCCAAGGTTCCAGCTGCAGTTACTTCGAGTAATGCGGAATTACATGCGAACCACGAACTCAAACACAGTGGGGAAATGCACGATACAATTATAACTGAAGATGATACAAGTATAGACACTAGCGAGCACGAACTTCAACTCTGCGATACGACTATGGATCCGGAACCCATTCAATCAAGTACTCTTCAGCATAGCAGTGAAATGCATGACACACCCGTTATTACCACACTATCTGACGCAAAAGATCAATTGCAACACAGCGGAGAAATGCATGACACAGTTGTTATTCACTCACCTGGAACTGATGAAAGTGAAGTACGTGAGGATGATAGGGAAGCACTTCCAAAGATTTTAATTAACACGCCATCATATAGCATACAGGAGGATAGTTCTGATAGCGATCTCCAACATGGCGGAGAAATGCACGATACTCTTGCGGTGAGTTTTGATCCAAAAAAATCCTATGATGTCGATAGTCCCTTATTACACCACGGTGAAATGCACGGTACCATTGTAACGGATAGTGTCGAACCCACCGCAGTTCGTAGTCCTATTAACCAGCATCACCACGCAGCGGTGGAAGCTACGAGTTTTGAGGCTGCCTCTCCTCAGCTTGGTAGCGTTTTGAACGACGATAGCGCGAAGGTTACGGACAATTTACAACATAGCGGAGAAATGCACGATTCTATTGTGCCGTCGATTGTCGAAAACGAAGAGAGTAATCAACAAAGAGGAGAAAAGCATGACACAGGTGTAATCGAATTACCTACCAATTCAACGGTGGAAGATACTGGTACTATTTTGAGAGAGGACAGTCTGCAACATAGCGGAGAAATGCACGATCCAATTGAAGCAGCGGTTGTCGGAAATGAAGAAATTGAGAATAACCAACAGGTCGATAAGGGTCTTCATCATAGTGAAGAAATGCATGAAAGCAAACCACTTACTCCTGTGGAAGTTACGAGTGTTGAGGTCGTTACTTCTCAACTTGGTGCGGTTTTGAGTGAGGACAGCCCCAAGATTGCTGACAATTTGCAACATAGTGGAGAAATGCACGACTCAATTGAGGCGTCGATTGTTGGAAAAGAAGAATCTGCTCACGAGCCAAATGTGGAAGGGGATCTTCATCACAGTGGAGAAATGCACGATTCAATCGAGGCGTCGATTTTCAAAAAAGAAGAATCTGCTCAAGAGAAACATGTGGAAGGGGATCTTCATCGCAGTGGAGAAATGCACGATTTAATTGAGGCGTCGATCGTCGAAAAAGAAAAAGAAGAATCTGCTCAAGAAAAACATGTGGAAGGGGATCTTCATCACAGTGGAGAAATGCACGATTCAATCGAGGCGTCGATTGTCAAAAAAGAAGAATCTGCTCACGAGCCAAATGTGAAAGGGGATCTTCATCACAGTGGAGAAATGCACGACTCAATTGAGGCGTCGATTGTTGGAAAAGAAGAATCCGCTAATGAGCAAAATGTGGAAGGAGATCTTCATCACAGTGGAGAAATGCACGACTCAATTGAGGCGTCGATTGTTGGAAAAGAAGCATCTGCTCATGAGCAAAATGTGGAAGGAGATCTTCATCACAGTGGAGAAATGCACGATTCAATCGAGGCGTCGATTGTCAAAAAAGAAGAATCTGCTCACGAGCCAAATGTGAAAGGGGATCTTCATCACAGTGGAGAAATGCACGACTCAATTGAGGCGTCGATTGTTGGAAAAGAAGAATCCGCTAATGAGCAAAATGTGGAAGGAGATCTTCATCACAGTGGAGAAATGCACGACTCAATTGAGGCGTCGATTGTTGGAAAAGAAGAATCTGCTCATGAGCAAAGTGTGGAAGGAGATCTTCATCATAGTGAAGAAATGCACGATTCAATCGCGGCATCGATTGTCAAAAAAGAAGAATCTGCTCACGAGCCAAATGTGGAGGGAGATCTTCATCATAGTGGAGAAATGCACGATTCAATTGAGGCGTCGATCGTCGAAAAAGAAAAAGAACAATCTGCTCAAGAGAAACATGTGGAAGGGGTACTTCATCACAGTGGAGAAATGCACGATTCAATTGAGGCATCGATTGTCGGAAAAGAAGAATCTGCTCATGATCAAAATGTGGAAGGAGATCTTCATCACAGTGGAGAAATGCACGACTCAATTGAGGCGTCGATTGTTGGAAAAGAAGAATCTGCTCATGAGCAAAGTGTGGAAGGAGATCTTCATCATAGTGAAGAAATGCACGATTCAATCGCGGCATCGATTGTCAAAAAAGAAGAATCTGCTCACGAGCCAAATGTGGAGGGAGATCTTCATCATAGTGGAGAAATGCACGATTCAATTGAGGCGTCGATCGTCGAAAAAGAAAAAGAACAATCTGCTCAAGAGAAACATGTGGAAGGGGTACTTCATCACAGTGGAGAAATGCACGATTCAATTGAGGCATCGATTGTCGGAAAAGAAGAATCTGCTCATGATCAAAATGTGGAAGGAGATCTTCATCACAGTGGAGAAATGCACGACTCAATTGAGGCGTCGATTGTCGAAAAAGAAAAAGATGAATCTGCTCAAGAGAAAAGTGTGGAAGGGGATCTTCATCACAGTGGAGAAATGCACGATTCAATTGAGGCGTCGATCGTTGAAAAAGATGAATCTGCTCAAGAGAAAAATGTGGAAGGGGATCTTCATCACAGTGGAGAAATTCACGATACCGTATTATCCGATCTCAGAAGCCCAGTAACTGAGGTAAACGAAGAAGTTCCACGCAAAGACGTTAAGCTTGAGCACAGTGGAGAAATGCATGACACGGTTGTATTTGATCCACCAACACATGCATCAACGACTCCTATTCCAAAGTGTGAAAAAGCATCTGCAAGTCTTCAGTCCAATGAAGATATACATTGTACTGAGGAAAGTACTACACACGTAAACGCTGAGGTAAGAGCGGAAAATCACGTGGAGGGTAATCTGCAACACAGTGGAGAGATGCATGATACTACCATGATCGCTTCATCAACTCCAGCTCCGGAGGGTAACCAATCAGCTGTTGGTCTTCAGCATGATGCTGCATTATTAGACACAGAAAAACAAGATCAGCGGCACGAGGAAGTTAAGCTTCAACACAGCGGAGAGATGCATGATACCCCTATAATTGAACTCCAAACTAATGCACCAAATCCAGAATCTAATGACGCAGCTCTAACTCCTCATAATGCTGAAGGTGCTGCATTATCTCATGCAAATACCACGCATGAGGAAGATCATCTTGCGGAAGGTAAACTTGAACATAGTGGGGAGATGCACGACTCCGCGATAATTGAAATACAAAAGGAAACTCCGGTTTCAAATCCTGAAACAGTGGTTACGCTTCAGCACAGTGGAGAAATGCACGATGCTGTAATTCTTAGTTCATTTGATCATGAAAGTGTGAATCATTTAGACGAAGATGAAGATGAAGAAGAAACGCACAAGGATACTGCAGAAAGTCCAAATGAAGGTAAGAATGAGGTAGAAAACAAAACTGAAAGTGCACATACTTTAGAAAGTAAAAACTTAAAAGCTTCCGCAGTTGAGCAATATCCAATTGTAGACAGAGAAGTAGAAGAAAAATTAGGTGCACCTGTAGATAAGGAAGAAAAATCAAACCATGCCTTTGCTTTGCTTTTAGAAAGTAACATTAAAGAGGTAACACAAAATGTAAAGCGAAATGTGACCAGTACAAGAGCAGAAGATGAAAATGAGGATTTAAGCAATAAAAGTTTAATTGACAATATAGAATCACAAATTTTGCATACGGATCCCACGACACAGCAACATTCAGACAAGAAGCAGGAGGAATTTTTAAACGAGGAAAATGAAAATTGCAATGAAGGTACAGATAACAAAATAAATGGCAGGAATACTATCGAGGAAATTTCAACGACTTTTGATAGCTCAAAACTGCGCGAAGAGATAAAAAATGTCACTACCCCTGTTGTTGATGCAAACGAAAATAATGCAAAAATAAGTGGTCAAAGTTATGTTAACGAAAACGAGTCTTCAAATACCTTTGATTCTGAGAAATTGCGTAGTGAGGTGGAAAACGCAAACAAGCACTCAGAAAATGGCGATTTAGATGTCAAGGAAGTAAAAGAAACTAGTGATAAAGGAGAAGATATCCCCACAACATTTGATGTTACCAAATTACGCGATGAGATAGAAAATGTTACCAAGTCAGAAGAAAATGAAGAAAAGGTCACTGCGAAAGAAAATATTGAAAACGAGGCTCCGGTTACATTTGATTCTTCTACATTGCGCAACGAAGTAGAAAACGCTAATAAGATTCTGAACAATGGAGAAGAAGAAGGTGATAACAAAGCCGATGGTACCATTGTCGAGACTCCATCTACATTTGACAGTGTTAAACTGCGCGATGAGATAACAAATGCTACCCTACCTGCAGCAGTCAATAGCGAGGCAAATGTTGAAAGTGACAATTACATGGTCGCCGAAAATCCACCCACATTGAATGCCTCTAAATTACATACTGAGGTAGAAGATGCTGGTAACAATTCAGAGAATAGTGATATCGGCGATAAAAATCCACTTCACTCCACTACTTTTGTTAGCACAAAACTGAGCGATGAAGTAAAACACGGTACTAATCATGTCGCAGATGGAGATCCCTATGAAAACACCGAAGAAAAAAGAGAAGAAAGAAGCTATACAAAAGAAAACTACTTTAAGACCTCAAGTTCATTTGACAGTTCTAAATTACGTAATGAGTTGGAGAATGTCAACAAACAACCAAAAGAGAACGATACTGATACTAGTAGAACAGCGGATGAGAGTGAAAAGAATGATATGATAGGAAAGTATGGAGTCGGCCAGAGTTCAACTTCATCTAAATTACGTAATGAGGTAGAAAACGCTAGTAAGCATTTAGAAAATGATGATAGCGACGATGTCAAACTAAAAGAAAGCGATGAGATAAATACATCAGAGGGAAAAAGCGGTCAAAAAGAGTTGGGAAGTGTCACTAAACAGTCAGATGCTACTGAAAACGAAGAAAGGAGGGAAATGGATGGGATTGCCGAGACTCCAATTTCATTCGACGCGTCTAAATTACGTAACGAGGTAGAAAATGCCAGCAAGTATTTAGAAAATAATGATACAAGTCAAACTATCATTGGTAAGACTTCCGCTGTCTTTGATAATTCAAAACTAGGAGATGAAGTAGAAAAAACCATAACTACTGCAGATAAAAACGGCGGTAAAGTTGATGCAAGCGAAGATGATACTCTTCCCGAATCTTCAATTGTATTTGATAGTATACATTCTCAAGATGATACAAATCTAAGTACAAATAAAGAAAACAGCGAAGAAAGCAATTTAGGTTTAACTATCTTTGATAGTGCCAAACTTCGCAATGAGATTGAAGATGCTACCAAACCAACACAAACTAACACAGAAGAAGAATTAGGAGTAAAAGGAAACACAGAAAAAAATTCCACCGACGAGGTACTAACAACGTTTGATCCGTCTAAACTTTCTGATGAGGTGGAAAATGTTAGTAAAGATTTAAAAAATGGCGATACCAACAATATTAGTGAAGAAAAAAATAGCGATATAAAAGAACACACTACCGCTGATACAAACAATAAAGGAGGTAATATAGTTGACAATACATCGGGTGCATTCAATATCTCCAAACTACGTGGTGAGATAGAAAATGCTGGAAATCTTGTAGAAAATGAGAATCTAAAGAACATAAAAGAAGAAAGTAGTGGACAAGAACCTTCACGCACGTTCGATAGTTCTAAACTACGCGATGAGGTCGATAATGCCACTAAACTTGTATCAAATTCCGACACAGAAGATACTAATGATAAAGACGATAGAAACAAAAATGATCCAGTTGAAGAAAGTCCAATTACATTTGATAATTCTAAGCTTCGTCAAGACATAGAAAGCGTCACCAAACCTATTGAAAATGAAGAAGTAAGTAGAAGTACTGAGCAGAGCACAATCGATGAGCTTCCCAACACGTTTGATACTGACAAACTGCACGAGGAGTTAGAAACCGCAATTAAACCTGTAGAAGAAAAAAATGAAATAAAAGTACCTCAAGCCATCCTCGAAGGTACAAGTACGTTTGATAGTACTAAATTGCGTGACGAGATAGAAAATGCTAGTACACCTACGGAGAGTAATAGCAAAGAAGAAAATAGTGAGCAAAAAGGTGATATTGAAGAGACTGAAACTTCATTCGATAGTTCTAAATTGCGAAATGAGATAGAAAATGCTACTAAACCACGTTCGGCACATTCAAATAGTGCCAAAGTAAGAGGAACTGAAGACATAAGTGAACCAAAAGCGTCTAGGGGCACATTTGATGTCTCTAAGCTGCGTGACGAAGTAGAAAGTGCTACGAAAATGGCAAATGGAAGTGAAGAGGAAATTGGAATGGACGTGTCTAAGGTTCACAATGTTGACGAAGGTTCAATGCCATATGATAGCTCCAAATTGCGCGAGGAAATACAAAACGCGACCAAATCAAGTAGTAAGGTAAAGGAAGAAAGCGCAGGCACCAGAGAAACAAAGGCGAACGGTTATGAAACGCCGATCACATTTGCAATATCTGATCTCCACCAGGAAGTGCAAAGTGCAGGAAAAGGACCTGACGAATCCAATCTTCATTCGGAACCGAAGCAACTCAGTACAGAGGAAGCCAGGGTCGAAGAATCTCCACCCTCATATGACATTGCGCAACTACACAGTGAGGTGAAAACCGCAACGAAGGTTCCCGAACGTACGGAAGCTGATGATAAAACTCTTGGCGCGGAAAGCGCCGTTGAACATGACAATGACACCGTTTCCGAACAGTCAACAGATGCAAAAGATAACGTGTCTCACGTAGAAAGAAGTGAGGTAAATGAAATTATTAAAACTCATGTGAATGACCCAGTTTATAAAACGAATGGAAGTTCTGAAGAACGATCATTAAGTAAAAATTCAAGCACTTCAAATGAATCAACTTCGACAATAATTTATAGCGGTTCTCCGGACCATGGCACATTGACCGATAATACTATCGATTCGGACGCCGCAGCTGTCTCTCGAGCAAAACGTAGTTTGGGATCTTCTGCTCCAAGACGATCACCCAACGTCGATGCTATTATTAGTCCAAGAAATCGATCACAAAAGGAAGGCGCTATTGCGAAAACACTGGGTGATGTGTTTGATCAACAATTTGCGATAGCCTCCCCTTTGGTTAAGTTAGAAGAGCAGAAACCCAAAAATGGTTTAAACGATCCCGAGTATATTTACATCCCGCTGAAAGATCCGAACGACAAAGAGGAGAGTTCGTTGGAGTCCGAGTCTACACTAAACGCGGAAAATGGAGAGCGGGAAGATTTTGGCGTCCAAAGTGTAGGAAATGTTTTTTGATAATATGAATTTGACTGTTACGTTTTAGGATGGAGACAAAAGTAAACAAGATCAGGGTAATAATGCGCTTTACGCTTACCAATTCCAAGGTTTGCATTCGCACGATGACGACTCGGAAATGTCTACAATTATACGGACGACACACATTTCTGATGATGCGTTGCCTCTTGCGGTTCAGCTTAATCAAGGCCCAGGTCAAGTATTTATAATAATAGTAAGTGATGTTCACTAATTTCATCCTTGCACTGCACGTGTTGGTTTTATAATTTGGTCACGCACTCTTTAGAAGATTCGTAGGCAGTTGTAGTGAAGATGTAGTTTTTGTTTGTTTGAAAAATATCAATGTGAACAGTGTAGTAAAATTTCGCTATCAAAAGTCTTCTAAAATTAGATGGGAAAAGTTGTGCTAATGTACGATTTTTGGAACAAATATGGCGACCACGGTACGTTGGCAATGGAATTGGGGAAAGTAAGAAAGAAATTCGATCTATTCAGTGTCTGTTTCTCTCCAAATAATCTGAATTGGGTCTTGGAGTAGAGGTTTTCGAATCTAGGAAGAGGTGTGAGGAAATTGGGAACCACACAGAATGATTTTACTCAGGACGACTTGGAGCGTGCGATTGGTGCAGGGGAATGTAGTGATTATCTGCTTAAATAATTCAAGAGAACCATGAGTTAAGAGAATACTCGAGGGAAAACAAGGGCAACACCTTATAGATAGGCTTATAAGAAAGAACATGTAAATAATAAAACAAGTATAAATTGTGCACAACCCTTGTGCAGACCAAGCGCATTATTTTTAACCGAAATAGCTTTTGTTTTGACATCACCAATGGATATATTTCTTGCAGACCTCTCAATCGCCCTTTGTGAGTACCCTCTTCCGACAATCCGTTCTTGAGGTCGAAGAGGAGAGCTATGGTTGGTAGAAATTAATTCCTTTCGTTGAGACCTTTCATTAGAGTACCATGGATAAAACTAGTTCCACTCCCCCCCCCCCTCCTCCATCCCGTACTTTGATAACTAAGGCACTAAAGGCACGCGATGCATTTTTTAAGAATGAGCTATTGTTTGCGTTTTGTCCGTTCGTCCGCCCGGACCCACTTCTACCGTTTTGAACTACTTCTTGGGGAATGGTCCTAGAGTCCTGGAATTTTTTTGCAGTAGGTAGCCTATATCTTGATGGTATGCCAGACGGCCAACAAATTTCGCTGTCTAAAAGGGGGCCCCCCCACGAATTATTTCCTGAGATGCTGTTTTTGAAGGTAAAACGTGCATAACTTTTACATACGACAACCAATTGGTCTCAGATCCCACTTTGGCCGGGCGGCTGGCTGGCTGGCTGGCTGGCAGCAAATGCAGGCCCGTAGGAGTGTACATGCACCTACCGTGTAATTAACAACTTGAGGGACGGGGCTACATGCTGTGGGGTAGGCGCGCGCCATCCTCGTGCGTGTTAAGTATTTTTTCTTATCTTCTTTTACATTTTTGGTCCGATTATTTTCAAATTGGTGTCGTCGAAAAGATCTTATAATCGCGAACAACTCATGTGTGATGGAATTTTGTTTTGTTCCTAGGGGGGAAATTAACAATACTTTGCAAGGCGCGCGTTCTCGGGGGGTAGTCGACCTTTGAGGCGCCCAAGAGTTTCTTGTAGCTCGAATCGCGGTCTCTCCTTCTCGTATCGCCAATAGAAGTTCGAGCTATGAGAAGGGTCCCAAAAATGGAGTACTATTTTGTGGAGAGTGGAGTCAAAACTTTAAACGCGATTTGCGGGTGAACGGGACGTCGGGAGTGGGTACCGAGAAAGGGAATGTGATACCCCCGACATAATCTTACTGATGGTGGAATCAAAACTTCATACGCAAATTGCGGGTGAGCGGGACGTCGGAAACGGGTACCGACAACGGGAATAGGGTAGCCCCCGACAAGATCTTATTGGGGGTGGAATCAAAACTGGCTAATAGAATACTGATCTTCCACACAAAAATGCGCTGAAGTCCGTGCGATCTCACACGAGGACTTTGATCATTCTTTTTAAGAAGTAAATTTTACTGGGCAACGTGTAGCAAGGGAAATTAGTAAAGAGGGCTAGACGTCGGTTAAATCACTGTACTGAAAACATTAAACTTTCGCAGTATAAAGTCCGTTTAAATTATCATGATTAGGGGTGCCAAACTCCTTATTGTCACCAGTTACAATTTGAACTGAATGAGATATTTTAGGTTTTGTTACTTAAAAGTTTTGCGGTTACGACAAATACTGAAAGTATATAATAACTTCCTGATCACGTTTCTTTCTAATTTACCCTTATTTAATACTCAATAACAATAAGCAATACTTATGGAAATTTTATGCAACAGAAACAAATGCCTTATAGCTAACAAAATTGAACTCATATTCTTATTTAAACTGACAATACGGATTTAAAAGAAAGAAAAAAATATCCAACCTCTTTCTAAATGGGTCCAAACTTAAACAGTTTATACTATACACTTGTTCGGCATTCAGTCAATTTACCAAAATCGACTCCTTTAATCGATATTTCAATATTCAATTACTTTGAATAAAATGTTTCGCAATTTCTTATAGAGAAGCGATTGTTATTTTTTACACAAATAAAAAAAAGTACGTTACCTTCATCAAAGAGTATACAACGAATAATTATAACATTTTCTGCAGTCGATAGTTTTCCAACAAATGGGTACGTTTCTTGAAATTGTAACTTTCGAAGGGTGCTTGACCCCATTTCTTTTTTGATACGGTTTTGAAGTAGTGTTACAACTAAACCCATTGTTGAATTGTAAAATTCTTTAGAAAAACGCATAGTTCAAAATGTGTGTAGGACATATGCAAATATAGCAAAAAAAATTCTGGTAAGTTTCAAGAGTATGGAATTTTACTTTGAAACTAAAGCTGCAACCGGATATGTAATTCTACACAGGGCCATAAAGGTGTTATGGCGCTTATAAAAATAGCTAGAGTTTGTTATGCCACTTTCGCACTTTTTTTTATACATCTACATTTACCGTCGGCTCATCTTATTTTGAGTGACCCTAAATTGACTTCCAATCAAAGGTGCCATTCATTATACGGGACCTAGGAATTTGTATCGATTTTACTTTTTAAGAGGTGGATCAATCGTTGGATCAATAGAACTGCGAGATAGAACGAGCAAGGGATATCGCCATTAGTATTGGTGCATAATTAAGATAACCATTTTATTGTATTCAAAACAGTAGGAAACCGTTCGTAAATGGTATTTGTTCGCTTTTTGTTGTTGCATCATTTGCAACTATATGCATAAACATCAGTTCTTTTTTGATTTACCCCTCTATTTCGGTTTGCCATTTCTGCTTCTTCTCGTGTGTTTAAATTTTGCTGGGGAGTTTGAACTCACTTCAAATAAATTAATCGTACTCTTGATTTAGAAAAATGCGAGTAGGTACTCGTACTTTTGAGGAGATTATTTCGCATTTTACTTACAACGTTGTCAGAATGTGAAGAATAATATTTGTTGATTCTAGGAATAAATGCAAGATGGGCGGTAGTTTCGTGATTGGGTAATGCATAAATTTTTTCTCGTTTACATTCATTTGTGTGTGGTCACAACGTAAGGTATACCTAATTAATTGATGTTAACTTTCAGGATTGCAACAAGAAACTGAGAAATCCGTAAAGTAGCGCGGCGTAGAAGTACAGGAAATGCAGAAGCTAATAGTATCATTTTATTATCATTCTTCTCTTCGTGTAGCAATATATAGGTATTATATGCAGAATATGCTATAAGTAATTAATTGTGTACCTAGAAAAGACATCTTTGTAATTTTTGCAATAGTACCTATGCTTAATAAATAAAAATATGAGTGCAGTTTTTGAGAATGGATTTTCCTTTAACGGTCCTACAATCATTTTTAGAGATCAATTATGCATGCATTTTTTATAGTATTTTTATTATACCTGCAATATGATTTAAAAATAAGGGAAATAATATAAAATTATGTTGAAATTATAAGTACCTACTGGAATTCATTTGTAATTAATTGGGCTATTTATTCGTAATTTCAAGATTGGTAGGTCTGTAAATCTTAAAAACTTGTTGGCGTGGATGAAAAGGAAGACGAATAAAGTATTAAACGCATCGATAATGCTGGCATACATGTTTACCTATACGGGGCGATAATAAAATTCATAGTTGAAATGCCTAGTTTTGAACTGATATACATTTCCAATCTAGTATAACCTCGACCTTAACCTCAACCAACGAACAATTTCCTTGCATAAGGTTCTTAGTGGCTTAATGGTTGTGCTTGAACGTTGGGTTCCATGGTCTTTCTGTTTTAACGGGAAATTAATTAATGAATTAAGTAATCAACTAATTACGATTAATTTACTAATTGTATTCCTTGTTTAAGTTTTTTGCTTCGAACTGTTGCACACAAAAACGACTAAATTTGCATTGAATACTACAAGGCTAATATTTGTTGCTTTTCTCATAGCCCTTCTTCCCAAACCGGTGTATTATATTCTATGCTGCTTATTTTGTTATTTTCTGGAACATCCCGACCACTACTATGAATAGCGTTCAATCATTTCTGAGAAGTAGCAAAATTTTCCAAGGCGACGCCAAATATCTAATCGACAAAATAAAAGGAGATATCAAGTGGAAGCGTAACTGTAAGGTATTGGACGTTGGATGTGGCCCTGGTAATTACACGCACGATGTTCTTCTGCCAATTTTGCCGCAATCAACGACTGTTGTAATTGGAGTAGACAAATGGCCGGAAGCTATCGATTACGCCAACTCCAATTATGGAAAATTTGGCGATATTTTATTTAAAGAAATGGACATCGCCCACGAACAAAACACCAATTACCACACTTATTTTGACCACGTCTTCTCCTTCGACCGTCTTCAATCTGTAGGACTCCAAGAGTAAGCGTGCACATATCACAGAACATTTTATTCTTTTTTGTTTCAGAACTGCTCTAAGAAACATCCGAAAGATGTTAAAACCTGGAGGCGATTTCTTCTTCTCATGCGCAGCTAATCTTAACCTATTTGACATATATTCCTTCATGTCTAAGAAAGATAAATGGCGCTCGTACTTGGCGAATTACACCAAAGATATGCCTCCTTATAAATACTCGCGACATCCAAAGGAAAGCCTTCGAGAGGAACTTTTGAAAGTGGAATTTCAAGAAGTCCACATCGAAATCGTGCCAAATAGATGTGTAATACCTCTCGCACTATACCCAGGTAGGTTCGTGATGAATTGTAGACGATTTGCCAAACTCATTTGGTTATTATAGAGTTTATTACTTCTCGTATCCCGTTTCCGATACCTCCACAACTCAAAAGCGCTTTTGTTTTTTCATCATTACAGGCACTAAAAGAGTTGAAGTTCGATAAATTTATTGATGGTGAAGAAGTCTACGTGCTCGAAATGCAAGGTATATATGGACATGTAACTAGGAGAAGAATTTAAGACCAACGAAGTTTCCCAATTGTATGTCGACAGTGTTGCATTTCATTCATGTCAGGCATTATGTCTGGTTGCGTAGTGAATTAGGTGTAAGCTACTACATTCTGTGTAAAATACCTACAGACAGTAAATTATTAATTAACTCGTTTTTGGCGAATTGTTTAAAAAAATAGCAATATAAACCGCTTTATGCGATTGGATGCGCCCTGAGACCATCCATCATTATAGGTTTCGCTTTAAATTTGTGGTATCCATACCCTCTACAAGCCCTCATATTTTGAAATACCTAAAATCACCATCTTAGCTTAATGCTCCCATGAGTGATTGAACGTCTAATAGTATGAAATATAGTGTAACGCTATTGCCCGATACGTACCGTTGTTTGTTGCTGGTTCAAGGAGCACTTACTACATTTTTAGTCGATTTATGGATGTCAAGTGTTGTGATTGGATGGAAAAATTAGTGTTATCAGTGGAAAAAGTTAGCGTTCCCGAATGGGTGTTACTCAAAAACGTCAAGTTTGTAGTTGTGTAGTGTGTGAAGTTAGGTCACCCACCGCAGGGTGGTTTTTATATTTTATGTTAGATTCGCATCGAACCGCAAAAAAAATTAGCGTGAAGCGATCAGACCAGTTAAGTCAGTAACTTTTTCTTTTAAATTTTGGCTGCGAAATTTGCCGCGAGCGAAGTGAAGTTAACTACCTGTAAAATATCGCAGGATGATTTTTTTTAAGTTATTCGACTTCTGTTCAATTTGCAGAAGTGCATCTAGAGAGCAAATTAACGCTCGAATAGAGCAATGTTTAAACAAACCCGAGTCCAAAGTACCACGTGATCGGGTTACGATTACTTGTAAAAAGAGCTCAAAATTTACTCCCAGAGTGATCGCAAACCTTTATTAAAAATCGCGGAACTTGTTGTAATCGCGATCACTTTTGTAATGATGAACTTTATTTGTAAATCTAGTTTTTGCGGCCTTTTAAAGATATTTAAAATAGTGGGGTGACACTCTCAGTGTTAGTCGTGAAGATCTGCGAAACATTTCAGTATTTTGTATTTTTTGTTATGTGTGTCATACTAGATGCCCAGGTGGTTCACATACTGCTTATTAAGACTGTTGGTCGGGAAGAGATAAAAAAATGATATAGAAAAACCAGAACTTGCGAATGTATATATGTAGTATTTATACCTAGTAAAAATTATATCTAGGTACAAGAAGATTCATATGTTGTTTTTTGAATCGTGTTCGCATTTCAATTTTTGCCTTTCGTTGTAAATTTCTCTGAAATAAATCAATTTCAAAAACTGAATCCTTTTTGCAGTTGTAAATATACAAACCAAACCATTTCACTTATTAAATAAAGGCGGCTTGAAATAAGTCTTGTTAAATTCTATTGAAAAGGAGCAATTGTATTACATCTACGTCATTAGCGTTAATAGACCTTTTTCGTCAGCAACGTTAAATTCTAATTTCAAGGCTGTGCGTTGGTACCTACCGACATTGGTAATTTGGAGATTACACAATCAAAAACCTGATGGAAATCTTCAATAATCTCTAATAAGCCATTTGGAAGTCAGAATGCTACACAACTCTTTTAATAATGCGTCCCGAAAGATAATCGTGGTCATGCAGAATTACTCCTTCCATTGAGGATTGCGCGATCCTAGATTTTTAGCGAAAATTTTTGAAAAAAATTCCCCTTATGTGATGATTTTGTTCGTCCGTCCATCCGTCGATCTATCCGTCCATCTGTGACTCGTCTAACTCGAGAATTAAAAGAGACAGCGATGTTAAAGCTAAAGCTTCGCCAATCCATCCCCTGCTGAAAATCGTATGCGATTTTTCGTATCTTGTTCTATAAATTAAATATGAATTTGTGTTAAATCATTTTTTGTTTTAAAAATATATTTTTTAGTATATCTTCGTCAGAATCCCCGTTTAAAGCACTCCCGAGCGTGTAAAAACGGACGATTAAAGCAGGCCGCGTTTTAAAGGTAGCTAAAGTAACCTTACTTCAAATATGACGTATTAAACTGTCTTTGGAATGGACATAAAAATCTTAGGTCGCTTTCTGTAAATCCAAAAAATTTCTTTAGGTTGTATCTGTTCTTTGTTTAAAGCTTTTACAAACGCACTAATTTAGGGTGTTCCATTTTTAATGGCAGCATTAAAGTTTTGATTGAATGCACCCATGGATATAAGATTTAAGGTTCACTCAAACCGACGCGGTAATGCGGAAACGGGGGCGGGACGGATGCAGGATATTTTTTTAGCGAAATATGCAGGTATACCGATGTTTGTTCATCAACATTTCATATTCTTTGTAAGAGGTAAAATAGGTTTAACTGGATTTGTGCATGTAGCAACTTTTCCTCTGCTTCTGCGACAAACCATTGAATTCATTTTCTTCCTAAAGACTGTAATTTTAACCTCATCAACTGTTTATATTCTTTGTAATAGATTTTATTTCATACTATCTAGTATTCGCCGCTTTACCAGACCCATTTGAGCCTGGGAAATCGTTTTTTACCAGACCGAAAATTTTTACCAGACTGGAAATGTTGCCTAGCAACAACAACAAACGTCTAACGGGCGATCAAAAATGGATTTACGTCGATTAGCCTTTGAAAGTTCAAGTTAAACGTGACGTGTCTCGCTGGGCGTCGAGATGGACGCTCTCCTCAAAGTAGACGCCATTTTTAAGAGAACAGTCATTTGTTTGCAAAAATTTCTCTAAATTGCGACGGACTGTAGTAGTCCGTGCAGAACGGTGGCCTGCAAATAAAACGGTATGTAGCCAAATTCAAGCTTAATTTAGAATAAGAAAAAACAAATAATTATAACTCACCAGTAAGTAAAATTTAAAAAAAACTACTGTCCACGCAAACGGTGCAATCGACGGGATGACAGTGTAAAACGGTATGGTCGCGGGCGTCACCAAGAGGTGCGGTCTTGCCCTAGGACAAGTATTCGGGTCGGTTGCGGAATAAATGCCCAGTTCGTACTCAACCAGAGAACGGAACTCCAGAACGCTTCAGCAAATAGCGGCGGTCACGGTCGAACACAATCTAAAATTAAGGCACCAGAAATGAAATAGCATAGCACAATTTAATTAGCGGTTCCTACGGTAAAAAAAACTAAGATGCAAAAGATGAATAAAGACGGTGTGATAAGCTCAACGTCAAAATAAAACAAAATGTTACTAATGCAACATGAATTTACGACAAAATCAAAAAATCTAGATGCGTTACGGTTGCGAAAATGAATTTACGGAAATGATAAAATTAATATGGTACTTACAAATATAATTGACAAAGTGTAAAAGCAAAAAGATCCTCTCTAAATAACGGCTTTACCTTTTATAAAATTCGACCAGTTCAAGTAGAGAGAAGCTAGAATTCCCGTTCCGTCCACTTATACCTTCGATACGTTCAAATAAATTAAAACTGTTCTTAATTAGTTACGTCTTTCCCAGACCTCTTAAAAATACGGGACCGGTGTCAAATTTCGAGTTTTTTTAAGAGCGCACCTAACGGATGTAATCTCGGCTTAATTGGAGGCAATTATATGTAGGCCATTCAACCAACTAGGGTTAATTATATGTATCGAAATAGTCGGAATTCAGCCTCTAAACTCGGCACTCCAGAAATGTTTTTTTTTCCTAGGAATCTGAGGCCAAGCGGCGTAATCTTTTATCACGCTGAAATTTTCCTTAATCTGCACAACCATACCATTAGAAAACTAAAATCGATTAATGGCTAATTAACGGACCTAAAACTTCTTCCCTGCCAAGAGAACTTTCGGCGGCTGTACAAATAATTGAATTATTTCCATGGGAAAAGCTCCAAACGGCCTGACTAATTGCGGTCTTTTGTTTTGCTTAACGGGGGGCTCTACAAATTAACCTACTAATTTCTACCTCCTAAAATAGAAACAAATATTTTCGCAGCGATAATTTCCGTGACGAAACCCTTCAAATTTAAATCCCCTTTATACAGGGTGTCCGTTTTTCGAGCTCCATCTCGGTTGTTTGAAGAGATGAAGAAATTATTGAAAAAAACCTAAACTTTTACTTTTAGACCTTCCCTTTTATTTAACAAAAAAAGGCAAAAAGTGGACGTAAAACTAAAACATTATTAAAGCACCTTTTTTTATGAGGAATCCAAATATGTAATCGAAAAATTGAAGGTACTCTAGACATGGAAGTTACAATAGACTTTTTTATTTCTTAGGGCAGTCATATTGAATTTTAGCATTTTGGGATAAAGCTCGTTTTTCTGATTAGAATGATGTATCATATGATATGTCTTTAAGATTCTGTCGAAATATGGAAAAACCGTTTTTGCAAAAAGTGCTTTGGAAACAACATGCTTTCTTTTGTTTAAAAAACCCGTTTTGATTAAACATAGCATATGATACACCATTGTAATCAGAAAAACGAGCTTTATTCAAAAATGCTAAAATCCGATACGGCTGCCATGCCATGAAAAAGAGCGCCTCAAATTTTTCGATAGCATATTTGCATTCCTCGTGAAAAAGTGCTTTAATAATTTAATAATGGAAAATCTAAAATTGAAAATTTCAGTTTTTTAAAAAATCTCGGCAACCTCTAAAGACATCCGAATTTTCGTAATGGCATAATATTGGGCACCCAAATACGCAAATTTGCCCCAATTTAAACACATTGAATCTCTTCAAATAATCGAGATCCCCATGTTGGGGCTCGAAAAACGGGCACCCTGTGCTCATCTATGGAGTGATCGCTAAAACTGATGCGATCTGAATTTCTCGGCGGAAAACGGGTGCTTCGTTACAAAAGAGTCACAAAAAAAGTAAGAAGGAAATTGACGAATTTTGGTTTTTTCTTCATTTAACCGACTTCGTATCTCTTATGGTTTCCGAGATCGCAATGGTCGCCACCCTCGTCACCCTCAAATTTGGGATACCTACCGATACCCTGTACGTCAAGGCACATTAAATTTTGAAGAAGGTACATTACTTATTCGGAGATTTATTTAAACATTGTCTGGTGCTCTCGTGAAGTTAGTTAGAAAACGAGTCTTGGGACAATGAGGTTCATTGAGCGTTCGTTTATTTTCGAGTCGCACTCTCTTTCAGTGAACTATTGTGGTATTATGTGCTTATTTGGGCACATGTGGAAGAAGAGCTATGGTTGAACATGTTCATATTCCCAGATTGATAATGAAGCGCTCCATGTTTCTTAAAATATTCTGATATATTTGTATTTGATTTTTCCGCCTCGTGCAAGTGTACAGATTACAGGTCTCCAGGACCCACAGGATATGAAATGTTTGAGTAAAAAGTAATGGGCCACATTTAAATCATACAAAACTTAAAGAGTCTAAAATTTGTTAATGCGTTTCGCCTCCATATGACCTTTACAAGAAAAGAGCTCCCTCGACCCGCAATTAAAAATTCCTTTAATTAGAAATTGCTCGGCCGTGACTTAAAAAAGTACAAAATCAGTTCGAAAAACCATATGTATAACCGTGAACTATTTTTGTATCAACTCAATCATAAATCAATCAAAATTGCAGTGAAAACATCTCAATGCTTACAAATTATAATATTCAATTTATAGATCAATCAAAACGTGCCAAAAAGTCAAACAGAAGTTAAAGATAAACGCCACTGATGCCGACCGACGTAATTTTAAAACACTCAATTTTTAAAGGTTCATCACATCAAAATTATGAACTGCACGTTTCCTAATTTACTTACATTAGATTTGGTTTCCATCCAAGCAGGTGCGTGCGTTTGACGTCATTGTCGTCGGACGACGTATAGGGGCGTCCTGGACGGTAGAGGGGACGCATGCGTCGAAAAAACGCGCTCAACTAAAGACGGGACCAGAAAAAACGACTCCCGCATTTTCAAATCAGTATGGATGCAAACAAACGAAAGAACGCAGCGGTACACGAGAAAAACATGGAAGAAGACGCGGCGACTAAAATACAAGCGAGTTTTCGGGGTTACCAAGTGAGGAAACAGCTCAAATTAAAAGTGAGTACCTTTGGCGCTTTTCCTCTGCAAAGTACCTACCCCAATTATAGTACAAAATTTTGCACTTGTTGGTTTGCAATCCGAAATGCTTGCCAAATCTCAATTTCTAGTGTAAAGCAGATCCGCAGTGTGTAATTGCCTATACGCTATACCTACCTCCCTTATTAATTACCTATACCGTACGTCAATCAGACACGAATTCGAGGGCAGTTGTTTTTAGGTCTTTAATGATTTTCTCGTGTATATGCGTGTGTATTTTACGTATGCATCGAACAGTTAATTTGTACGTTTAAATAATTTAGGCTTCCAGTGTTTTTGGCAATTAAAGCAATTAAAGCGGCTTACGTCAATTTCCCCGATTCAAGTTCACGGGGACATAAAAACAGTTTAATCAATTTTTGTTAACTGTATTATTGACAGGCCATTGCTAATCCAATTTCCGAACCCTTATTGAATCATCACTAAATACTTGCACAAATTGTGGTACTTTTTACCATTTTGACTTGTTTCTTTGATAAATTTTGGGATTATTTCAGTTTCACAGCGCTTAGCAACTTCTTGTAGTAGAGAGAATATTTACTGTTTATCCGGACCGTTTCTTAGAGTTAGAGACTAAGAGCTGGGGGTTTCTTAAACATTAAAATCTAAAATTTAATATACGAGGTTGCTTATTTACTGTATACCTACATAAAGTTCTATAATCGGCCAAACTGTTAGTTTATTATTGTTGTGCAGACTTTCACCTAGAACTCAGTGGCGTATAATTAACTACTAAGTTAGCAATATTTCATTTCGCGATTATTAAATAAACCATTGTGATATTTCTCAAATACTGTAATGTATATAAAAATGAGTTCTACGCCACTGATTTCTGGGTAAACGTTTCCTTTTTACCATTTTTTCATATCGTCCATACTAATAAAGTTATCCGGAATATCTTTGCGATCCATTCCTGTGCACGACAAATAAGCCACCCCTACATTCGGTAATATGGATGATATACATTGGTGGAATGGAGTATAACAATTTCAGTGATAATTTTAAAGCCTTGACCCTTGGTGCTCTTCAATCACTGTAGGTGTTTACTTCAAAAGTTAATGTGACCTAGGACCTACCTTCAGTGGTTAAATCACACTATCAACACTATAGATAGAGTGTATGCATGATTATTTCTCTCATAGTCTTAATTTATGTTAACAATGCAAGGACGTTTGCTCAGATGATTTTGATATTCCAAAGATACATACAAACATCCAATGGGAGTGTTTGTGTTGGGACTAATTGTTGTATACACGTGTATACAAGGTCCTTGTAATACTCGTACAAGTTGAAATATTCCCAACATGTAGGGCAGTATTCTACTCAAGTCATACCCAGGACCATTCATAACTAGGACGGTTCAGTGGCGGATTATCCAAACATTCGGACTTATGATCACCTGTGAGCCCCCCCTCCCCATTGTAACGGGCTTACTTACATTTACCTGGGTCGAGGACTTCACTTGCATAACAAAATTTAATATGACAATCAATTTTTAATTTACCCACGGATAGCTCACTAATAAAAATGCTTATTAAACTCCTTACCTTGCGGAAGTTTGACCCTTTATTCCCTTGTAAGACCTGAAATTCAAAATCAAATGTTCTGGTTTGATTGAACTCGAATGTGAACTTAGTTGATCGAATATGTTAAGTAAAAGAAAGTTGGTCAAATTCCATGTTTCTTTCCACGTTATTTGACTTAAAATATCGATTTGGCTTATAAAAAGAACTACAAAAAAATGCAATACCTATTTTGTGATCGCATGTCCATGCTTAATTTGATCCCTATCTATAATTTATCTTTTCCACAATAAATTACTGGTAAACACACCTCGGACTGCTAAACAAAATTTTAATCCAACCAAAGGAATGGTATGACTGAAATTAAATACAGTTTTCCAATCAGGGAAGCAAAAAAACCAAAATTCTTTGTTCGGATTCGATTCGTATTCATAAATGTAATACGAATCTGTTTATGAAATGATTCTCATAGGTCGATCCCTATTAGGTACATTATTTTATACAAATGAAAAAACTTGAAATAACTTACAATGATTGGCGTGGGTATAATATTCTCGTCTGGTAACAATCCTTGAAAAATGCCGTTTCCTTTAGAAATATGGACACAGATCGCTTCGATGGTACAGTTGACCGGGTACGATACCTGATGAATGCAAAGTTCATATGAATCGCGAATCCAAGCAAACCGCCTTCAATTTCGCGAAAGTAAAAGTCGAGTGCAAAGGAATAAAATGCTAATGATCCTCTCTGTTGATATTAATTTTGCCCAATTTATTAACTAGGTTTTACTGCGCGTATTAATTGTTTTTAAATTCCTTGACGTATGCCACTGTATACAAAATTTTATTTATCACACAGGCCCGTATGAATAAAAGTAAGCAAATGCTTATACTTGCAAAATTCAAAGTAAATACTCGTAAGTGCTCCTTCGCACTGGGTGACTTAGCAGCGCTTCTAAGCAGAAGGACAGGACGCTGTGCAGCGCTGCAAAACCATGCTAAACAGACCAGTATGAAGGGGCAGTTACGAGTATTTACTTTGAATTTTGCAAGTATAAGCATTGCTTACTTTTATTCATATCGGCCAATAAGTTATCCAATGACTACTTTCTTTCTTCTATCTCCACTCTCGCCTACTCGAAAAAGTTCCATATATTTTACCATCCGTAAATAAAAGGTCTTGCTACGAATTAGGGTGCTAAATAGTTATTTTTAGTACAAGTGAACAAATGCACTATTTCCTCTCGAGTTCTAGATTTAAACAGATGAGCAAGCAGAACAAGCTAGTGTTTCATCTAGAGGGAGAGAATATAAGCTTCGTTGCTCAAGAGTGCTAAACATAATTTTGTCCACAATCGTATTCATTCTTTAGCAGTTCAAATAACTGACTTTTGCGAAATGTGTAATACCTAAATATGATTTTTTTACACGTTGGTTATTTGAACTGCAAATAATGAATACGATTGTGGAGAAAATGATATTTGTCACTCTTGAGCAACGGCTCTTGTAATCTCTCGCTCTATATGACACACTCGCTCGCCGTTTAAAATCTTAATCCTTTAAAATCGAAAGTAAACAGTGCCTTTGCTCATCTATTCGAACATATAAAATTGCAGGTAACCCACAATTTATACAATTCAGAATTTGCTTAAATGTTTTTCAACGATGTACTCGAAATTTAGGAGGTCTCGCCGCTTAATGTGTTCTTTTTAACTGCTAATCTTCACAGCGACTCAATAGAATCAAGCGAGGATCTTTCTCGCAATCCAGCTAAGAATGCCGACCAAGAAATAATTGTTTCACACACGTGGTCACTCCAAAATTGGTACTGCCCCGTACTTTTCTAAGAATTACAATTTGCGTACCTAACATAGTACGTGATCGCTAGAAAAATCAGCTTATAATCAAATTTCTAACGCACCCAAATTGTACGTTTCGACTCACGAAATCAAGAAAGAATCCTTCGCTCTCTTACTCTCGCTATTTTAATCTGATCCGTTAGAAAAACCGAAACGGGTCTCTTTTTCTGAACGCAACGACTAGTGTACGTTTTTGAACGAATAGCAAACCTGCACATTTATCACGTGTGTTAAACAGAACGGAACGAAACACTTTAGCTCGAAGAGATTGTGGCAGCGCGTCCGTTATAGCCAGACTTACTTTAGGTCACGTTCGCTATGAAGCGGTGTATGTGTAATTTTTTCTGTTTACCTGTTACACCATCCATCACCTGTGTGTATTATTTTATTATTTCTGATATTTATTAGTATTTTCACAGTATTTATGATCGAGAAACGGATTCAATCGCTTATCTCTCTCATGAACAAAAATATTATAGTATTTTTTCGTGAAGCTCTAAAGAAGCATTTATAGCGTATATTTTTAACAATTAAAAAAGTCCGAAACCATTTCAGTATAATGTACCTAAATTTCACATGCGATAACGAATTTACCTCAGATTTTGCATACTCATGGATCTAGTAGTGCCAAATAAATTTTTGAAATTGAGCGGACGGGGGCACACGATTTACCCTTCATGGTATTCTAATGAAAGGTCTCAACGAAACGAATTCATTTCTACCAATCATTGTCCTCTTCCTCGACCCCTTACCGTAAAGTTATAATTCCTCTGATATTTTAATAGCGGAGTGTAGGAGGAGATTACTCTCAAAGGGCGTTGGAACGTCTAGATGAGACAGGTCTATGAAATTATTTTCGGATTTATCTGCATTTCTTTTTAATGCTTCCTTCAAATTCATCTCAAGATTTCCTTAAAAGTACCTCTTCTGAAGTTCCCACTCTTAAGTTGTTTCGGGTCACAAATTCTGCACAATGCGTATTAATTTCTTCTCACCCTACTAATTTTCCGTAAAATTGATATTTTCCTTCAGATTCTCAACTTTCTCATAAGTCGTCTCAAGTGTTATTCTTACGCTTCCCCCAAGTTCTTTAGTTTCCCCCCAATTCCCCTCAAGCTCCTTTCGAGATCCAATCTATTTCTTCTCTCTCCTAATTCTTCTCATTAGATGCGTTCTACTGACGCTTCCCTCATATACCTCATAAGCACAAAATTATTATAGTAATGACGAACTACGTCTTCAATTAATCAAATTGGGGGGATATCCCGAATAAAAATAGCGTAAAGATACTTACACGTTTTTCCAACCGTCGCGAACCAGCAGCTAGCAGGCCCTTTTTTACGCTGAATCCAGTATTTAACGAAACATCACCTTCACAATAAAAAATCTCTTCCAGAACTTTTAAGTAAAGCCGCCAATCATAAATAGACTTGATAACGCCAGCTTTCCAAGAACGCATCAAGCGTCCCCACTTACGCCGAACAAAGTGTACATCGTCGAACACCTATATATTCCGTTATCGGCACTAGATGTGTTTGTTTTGTTGAGATTAACTCATATTCGCCTAATATCAAAAGTTA